TGACCACCAACCTAAATGTTTTAGGAAAAAAATTGGTAAACCCAAAATAGGAAAGAGTCTGACCTAAGGTAGAGCCCATTGTCTACATTTGCTTTGTCAGATCTTCAGTGGTGACAGAGGAGGGTCCACCATGACACTATTGTGTCTCCATCCTACCTGTTTAACTGTGTTATCACCCACCTACAGAGTGGAATATGAATATACTGTGTTACAATGTAGCTGGTAGGGCTTGGATATTAAAACCTTGAGAAAAGCTGATAGGCGGTGAAGGCTTATTGTGATAAACCAGAAAGGATGCATTGTGGTGAAGAGGGGTTATTATCATGATTATGGGTATTCCAGGATGAAGAGGTGTGTAGGTAGACAAACACCGACATCGTGCAGCTGTGTGTAAAGATTCTCCAAGTCCAAGTCAGTTTAGCTTGTTGCTTGACAGATTTTCTCCGTCAAAATACAAGGGGAGGCAAAATAAGATATGAAAGATAGTAAATGTTGATTTGAGGATAATTTCATGAAAATATCTTGAGCAGTTTTAAAAGAATACAAACAAAAATGTTGACATGTTAAAAAAAATAACATTTTGCAAAAGATGCTGTAATTGTAATTATTTTTTTAATTTTGCAAAATATAGGTTAGCCTCATCTTAAAGATAAAATAGTAATAGGTCTGTCTTAATGAAGAAAATAACCTCAGGTTCTGATGTAAATATTCAGCATAATGGGTAAATGAATTTTTGTTTGTTTTCAGTGACACAGATTGTTTCCATTAAATCTGTAACAGTACCATAGGACATTTATAATGATGGCTCATGATCAGGTCTATTCATAGCGGTTCAGGTTGTGAATATTGGACTGCAACAGGTGCCAAATTGGTCTGGCACTTACATACGTGTGAATGCTCTTTATAGACAATTGACATATTCAGCAGCAAGGAAACTGTAGAGTGATGCATCCTGAAGCTGGACAAAGACACCACAGTAATGTCCTTGTCGCTGTGTGCCTGACAACTGTCTCCTGTTCGGCAGTAATGTGACACTAAAGGTTATAAGCTGCTTGTAGTTGAGGGACTATGACACATGCCCTGTGTTGCAGGTATACGGTTGACTGCAGTGTGGACGTATAACTAAAGTATTACAGCGTTAGAAATTGGCACTAGTCCTGTAGTCCTTGCCAAACTGCCCAATAGTTAAGGTATCATAAGGACTAGTAGAAATTTGCCATTTTTAGGGTTTGCTATAATGTTATCATAATAAGGACTAGTAGACGAAACATTTTAGTTTCTACTGCTGTATTACAGCATGTCTTAACTAGAGCTGTAATGATATCAACGATACCTATGATATCATCGATACTAAGGTACAGATGATATGAAATCGTCAGTTTGTGAGATCGTTATTCACTATAAATAGAACAGAAACTGATAGAGTTACCTCCCATAATGGCAGAAGTAGCACAGTGCAACTTTAAGCTTGGCAGGACACGAGGACGTGGTAATGAGGGCGTGCCCACTAGTAAACTATTGTGTTTTATAACCATCGCATAATTTAAAGATGTTTTGTTTTTGTTTTTGAGATAATAAGTAAATGTATGAAACTAGAGGTTTTAGAGTTAAATTTCAGTGATTTCATCATTTTGTACATTTTGTTGGTGTATCGTGATACCAGTGGTATCGTCAGTCTGTATCGTGATACATATTATATTGAAAGATACCAGGCGATACTCAGCTCTAGTTTTGACAGGGGTAGGCACAATTGGTCATATCCAACCAGTCCACAGCTCAATTCAGACTAGACAGGTTTATGTAAACTAACTTTATTTTGGATGAAAACAGCTAGTCTCTAAATTTAACTAGTCTTGGACTGACAGACTAGTGGCCATGTGTATGCCTTTTTTAAGAATACTAGTGCATTGCATATTATTTTTTCTGATTCCTTATAAAATTTCTTATTTTTGTAATGTTTTCAGCATGTAATAGCTGCCATTTCATACAAAACCCAAACTTTGTGCTGTTACCATGGTTACAGTTAGGGAATTGATATTTTCCAGTATTTATGTAAATAAGTCTGTAAATACAAAGACATGTTGAGTGTCATTGTGACAATGTGCAACTCATATATATGTCTGTACTCATGAAAACAGTCATACAGCCTGGAGTCTGAGCCTTTATTGAAGTCTGTTCCATGACAAGAGTTACTATAGTCTGGAAGGTAATTTAAGGTACCGACGTTTACTACAATATCTGAAAAACTATTGGACCTACTCCAGTCAAAGTTGGTATGGAATCACGCACGCACGAATACGGTGTTAGCGTTGGGCGTCTCAACGTGCATGATTCCCGTGCACCCTTTTGAGTTGATTTGATTGGTTCAACTGTGTCATATGGCCTTGTGACGCAGGGGTAGCATTATGCAGATGGCTGTTTCAATGAATGCTCATTCCACCCATGACGAACAGGTCTGGGTGTTGATGAAATATAGTGATAGCTAAATAGACAGATTTTTTATTCATGCACCGATTGTCTTTAAATGTAATATCCAGTTATGTATGACTGTTTAATAATCTCATACCAACTTTGACTGGAGTAGGTCCGATAGTTTTTCAGATATTGTAGTAAACGTCGGTACCTTAAATTACCTTCCAGACTATACCTACCGTTTGATGATGCAAAGTGAAAAGTATCACTGTTCAAACTTTAAGCCAACTCACCCACTATCTCAGATTGTTGCAATTCTTTGGCAATATGGATCTGGACTGTGGTCAACTGCCTACCATTAAACTGGTTGCACACAGGTCTATCGGGTTTTCCATGCCCCAGGGCACACTGATCCCTGCCCTCTCAGCTGGCAGTTAGTGTGCTTTATGGGATTACAAGCCCTCGTACTGCCCACAGCTCAACATGGGATACATCTCGTAACGCATTGTTGTGTTATATGGGATTCCAGAGGCCAGTCTTGAATAGGACATGCAGATACACCTTGTCGCTCAATACTTGTGAAACATTTATACAGCCTTTGCCTGTATCCTGTTCTTAGACATGGTGATTAATAACCCCATATTTAGAGGGATGTGTTTTTGTTGATTGTTGTTGGGAGACATTTATTTGAGGCTGACGTGTTGCCACATTAATCATGAGATCTTGTGTTTCATGTTGGCTTCAAGGAGTTTTTGTCCATTGCCGTGTAGTTGGTAATTGCTGTGAAGTATTGACCATTATGGTTACCTTGATGAAGTATGGCACAGTAGTTTATCATGTCAAGTCGAGTAACTAAAAAGGATTAAGGAGCAATTGTAATTGCTGAGTTGCCATGGTAACGGCTGACATATTGTTACATGATGAATTGATTGTTTGGTTTTATAGTTAGTTTTATGATTAAGTCTAAATTTGGTGAACTCTAAAGGCACCCTAAAAAAACAAGAAAAAACAAGATCAAATTAGTTCAATCTAAGTATTTAGACACCTAATAAGGTGACAGTGGAATAGGGTAGTGGTTAAAGTGTTCACTTGGCATGCTGAAGCCCTGGGTTCATTTCCCACATCGGTACAATGTGTGAAGCCCAATTCTGGTGTCCCTGAAGGAATATTGCTGGAATACTGATGGAATGGTTTCAAAAGCAGTATTAACCTGTACTCACTCACCCTTTCAAAATAAGGGGGTGGGGGTGAAGTGCTCTAATAGGGTCCTTGACGATTGCTGCCATAGTATTTGAACAAATTTAAACCTTTTGAATTGCATTCTCAGTGTTGAACTCTTCATACTGGCACGTCAACTGTAAGTGTGTCCTTTCTTGAGATGTTGTTATGACATGATTAGTGCAGAAACAGGTTCTAGAACAGGAGTATTGATGGATGTTATCTCAAGTATTTTATCAGATTGAGTTAGGCGTACAACTATGATTGGCACTCTAATGATGGTGTAATCGTGATGAAGTTATCACCGTGTGATCTGCACCACCACCAGGGGGCGTTCTGTGAGATTGATGACTGTATTATGATGTATAGACTCTCGTCACATCATCTGTGATTTATGTCGGATGTGACCTGCACTTCCAGTACGACGGCACGTGACAGCTTCGACACTACAGTGTTATTGCATCAAGAGTAGACTCTTTGTTACTTGTGTTATGCAAGTTATGCGTAGTTTTTGACAATTCAGTCATAGATGAATTATTGGTGAAGACGACAATGACTTATGGTCGCTGATAGAAGCATGTCTTGATCATTTTGTCTGTGTTCATTTAGAGTATCTCAGCATTGAAGATGAAGTTTCTTATTCAAAGGGTCAGTATGTTGTTAGTAGCTGATACCAGCTTTGGTGCCATCGTGAATGTTTCTAGTGGGATTAGAAGATGTTGCATTTAGGCAGCAGTCTCAGTGAATGACTTGTTTCAGTGGTGTAGATACATTGAGTTTGACCTTTCTTGTCCAAGGATCATGCAAGACTAGTTGTTTGGGTAGCTTCATGAGATTTTTACACTTCTTGATTTTTATTGGTCAAGGACTGGCAGATTCGCAGACATGTTTAACAGTGTTTCCATTTTCAGCTGCTTCTCCATGTGTATCTCATCAGTTTTCATCGAGAGTTCTTTGTGAATCCTGACCTGCATGTTTTGATCTACTTGTGTATTTTTAAGATTTATCTGAACAGCATGTTGTAACGTGTATGTGTTCAATCACTGATCTCTTAGGAGACATTTAGATAAGGCATGTAGATCTTATATTTAGCAAATTTTCTTGATATTTTGAGAATACATTTAGCATATTTACATTATACATTTGGCATCTTTTTATCATATATTTAGCATATTTTCCTCATATTTTGACAATACATTTGGCGTATTTTGATAATACATTTAGCATATTTTGATAATACATTTGGCATATTTTGATAATACATTTACATATTTTCATCATAAAGTTAGACTCCTACATTTCGATTGTGTAGACTGAAGTGCACAGATAGTGTGAGTTCCAGTATGTGACGTGTTGTGATGGTGTTCCAGGGTTCCGATCCGTTGATTCAGACGGCACGAGGCAAGCTGCAGTCACGCCGCTCAAAGCTGAATGACCAGATCAACAAGGAGCTCCGGATGCGGTCCGGGGCGGAGAACCTCTACAGGTAAGACTGAGTTCAGTGTTGAAAACATGCTACAAGCTGTGGGCATGGTGCAGCCATAGAAACTAGCAGGTTTAGTCCACTAGTCCTTATAATGATAACATATAGCAAAACACTTGAAAGGGGCAAATTTTTGATAGTCCTTATGGTACCTTAACTACTGGGCAGTTTGGCAAGGACTAAAGGACTAGTGTCAAATTCTATTGCTGTACTGTGAGGATGCTGAGCAGTTGATGGTGAGCGAGTAGATTGAGAGTGAGAGAGAGTGAGTGAGTGAGTGAGTGAGTGAGTGAGTATGGTTTTACGCCGCTTTTAGCAATATTCCAGCAATATCACGTCAGGGGACACCAGAAATCGGCTTCACATAATGTACCCATGTCTGGAATCGAACCTGGGTTCTGGCGTGACGAGCGGGCACTTTAACCACTAGGCTACCTGACCGCCTCTGAGAGAGTGAAGGAGGGAGGCGTGAAAATATGAAACACTGTCTGTGTGACAAGTCCACAGCAGAGTCCAATGGGCAGCGTTTGAAATTTATATAAGTCTGCAAGTTCAATTGAGGACATATCCTAGTGGATTACCACATTCACCATTAGGTAGATGACTTACATAGATATAAATTTATTTCTAACCAGGATTGAGACTGAAATGTATTTCTTACATTGTACCCAGCAAATGGGGAAGGAGTGAGTGAGTTTGGTTTTACGCCGCTTTTAGCAATATTCCAGCAATATCACGGCAGGAGACATCAGAAATGGGCTTCACACATTGTACCCATGTTGGGAATCAAACCCGGGTCTTCGGCGTGGCGAGCGAACGCTTTAACCACTAGGCTACCTGACCGCCCCACATGGGGAAGGAAAGCTAGGATGTAGACAGAAACCATTGGAGCACAGTTTTTAATATGACCACCGTCCTGAGGCTAGCGTCAAGTATTAGTTCACTACTAGCTTGTAAGGCCAGTTCCTGATGCATGTCATAAGACATTCAATAAACTAAAAGCTACTGAAACAATTATGCCTATGTGCCATACTTATGGCTAGTACTCAGCATGCTCAGTAGTTTTAAAAACTTGGAACATGGTGAGGTTAAGCCAACCATATGGAGACTTGAACTAGTCTCTAAGGAAATGGGTATTAGTTTTAATCGTAATTCCTAGATTATATAAATACAAAGAACAAGTTGTTCCTATAAAAGACTGGTATCCATATCTAGACTTGCTGATTATTAGAATAGAATTATGATACATCCATGCACTTATCATTCAGTAAAGACTTGAGCAAGGCTACCACATCCACTACATATGATGAAAGTGTATTTGATAATGAGTAATCATACTGCAACCAGGTCAACCAAAACACAATAGCTATGTTGTAATTAGTCCCATTTGATATCGGACTCATCAGCAGCACATCCTGTGCAGAGCTAGCAGCCAACAGGTGCCCCCTGCTCACCGAACCTCACACTGTTCCTCATGTTATGGTAATATACAGGTCCTGAAGCCTGTTGATCATGTTGGTTATTGCTTGTCATATTGGTGTTTAAATTGTAAGGGGCATGGGTGACCTAGTCATCAATTCACTGTGCAGAGTTATGTCCCTTGGGCACACCAGAAACGTAAAAAAATAAAATAATAATTGATCAAATACATAAGCCTGGCTAAATTGTATGAAAATTGTGAAGAGAAAGTCAAACTCTGAGCAAGACCTTGTCCCAAGATGATTTCTTTTGCTCTTATGTTCATGTCTTGTACCCATACATTGCTTCATGATAAACTAGTATTGAGTCTTGTAATGGATGACAACGTTTGAGAATCAGAACAGCAACGGTACTCTGTGTGCTTGGAGCTGAAGACTTCGGTTCAGTGGTTTTGTTGTTGTTTGGGTCATGTTCAGCCTTCAAAAATTAACGCGAGTCCCCTAGCCCGAAACTACTAAATTGTGCTGAGGACATGTAGACTTCCAAGTATTTAGCTGCCCTCTAAGGCAGTGCTTTATCGGCACCTAAAAACAGCTGGATGAACAAGAGTGAATTGGATTTGTCTGTTTGTTGTTTAATGTCACACTCAGATATATTCCAGCTATATGACAGTAGTCTGTAAATAATTGAGTCTGGACCAGACAATCCAGTGATTCACACCATCTTACGACAAGCATGAGTTGCTGAAGACCAGTTGATGACCCGGAGAGGCAGTCGGGTAGCCTAGTGGTTAAAGCATTCGCTTGTCACGACGAAGACCCGGGTTCGATTCCTGACATGGGTATAATGTCTGAAGCCTATTTCTGGTGTCTCCCGCCGTGATATTGCTGGAATACTTCTAAAAGCGGTGTTAAATCATACTCACTCACTCACTCACTCGCTCACTCATGACCCTGATGTTCACACATGTAACTGCACCTTGTGATGTGTTACTGTCACTTGCCCCTATCAGTCACATCAAATTAAGAGAATGAAGGACAACAACGTCAGGACAATGTGATCTATTCCTGCACACCAGATGTTCATGTACCGCAGACCCAATCCATAGGTTTAACCGGATACCTAGACTTTGACTAAATTGAAAGTTCCGATAACCTTTGTGCACTACATCGATGAAAGGTCAGTCGTAGCAGACCTCGGTGTAGGCCTGGAGCAGCTTAATGATGGGACTTAGCGAGCCAGCTGTTGTAGTACATTAACATGAGATGAAGCCCTTCCTACACGTTTTGAGACATTCTCCACCAGATTATGCAAATCGTTGATATTGTAACCAGATGCAGACATGGAAACCTTTCATCTGAAAGTCTTAAGACATCAACCCAGGTTAACTGCTCCATGTGTGATCTGTATGTAGCATGTACGTGAGGTGTAGTTAACTGTATGCATTAAGTCAGGTGTATGGCTTTATTGTATTTCTAGACCAGTGAAGATCCAGGTTAGAATAGGTCTTCAGCAACCCATGCTTGCTGTAAAAGGCGACTATGCTTGTAAGAGGTGACTAATGGGATCGGGTGGTCAGGCTCGCTGACTTTGTTGATGCATGTCATTGTATCCCAATTATAGCTGGAATATTGCTGAGTGTGACGTTAAACAACAAACAATCAAAAACATTGTATTTCAAATGAATGAGTTGGTATTGGTTTATCCTGCTTCTATCATGGTAGAGGGAAACCAGAAATGGGATTCATTGTACTTTTGTGGGAATTAAACTCAGTTTAGTGGTTGGGGAGTAAATGCTTTAACCACTGAGCTACCCCAGTGCCCCTTTAAGATGAACCATGAACATCAAGCGAATTAAACATTTCGTCATGGTTGGAGGTGCGATCAAAGGCATTGCCCATTACCTAATAGATAACAGATAGTGCTCTATGTATTGTGTGAACCCCATGTGAAAGATCAGATGAATTAACTTAACGGTATTCAGGTCACTGTGTCAGGGCTACTGTGGGATCTACGGAGTCTTGATACATATGACATAGTTACTGTGCCTGGTCACATGAATTATCATAGTGTAGTAACATGCTACAGCTTGTTTTATGAAGACAACTGACAGTAGGTATACATAAAGGTATGCCACTAGCTGCTACATTCTTAAGTTAGCTGAATAGCCCTGTTTGTGGTCATGTAATAGTCATCACATTTATAGTCTATTCAAATGAGTTATGACAATACAGACAATAACAGAATTGTAACGAAATGATTCTAGGCATTGTCTGGGGATGGGACATATCCCCATATATTTTCTCAAGTCATGCTTGAAGAAAATGTCACCAACAAGTTTGCCCCATGATTTGTTTAAGAAAGACAGTTTGCTGTCCCCCGTGTACAAAATACAAAATTAATTCTTTCAGTGCTCGATCCTTCTCTCATGCTGGTGACTCTCTATGGAACTTCCTTCCTTTCAGCCACAGTATCACTGTGTTTATGTCTAGACTTAAAACGTACCTTTTTGAACGCTGCAACTGAATGTGTATATTTTTACTATCTTACTGTCACGGGGCGGTCGGGTAGCCTAGTGGTTAAAGCATTTCATTGTCACGCCGAAGACCCGGGTTCGATTCCCGACGTGTACAATGTGTGAAGCCCATATCTGGTGTCCCTCGCCGTGATATTGCTGAAATATTGCTAAAAGCGGTGTAAAACCATACTCACACACATTCACTCTTACTGTTGTATATATATGTACAGATGCTGTGTTTTTGCGCATTGAACATGGCCCTCAGTGATGTGGAGGGAATTTTGTGCTATAGAAATAGCAATATTATTAATTATAATGATGACGACGACGATGACAATGATGACGATGATGATGATGTGAAGTATAGGTTTGCTCTGTATTAGTTTTGTCTAAGCACAAGGAGGATTACCTAAAAGACCATTAATGTCAGCAGACTGCATCACCTGCAGGCCATGAAATGGAGTGCTTACCGAGCTGCATGCACCATGTATCTGCCGTGAGTCGATGGCTTGGGGCGAGGTGACCTGCCGGGAAATGGTGTATGCAGTATATTGTTATTTGCCCTACACTGAGGAGGTGTGATTATGTAACGTTCCATGGATTGCCCATTCCTGTGGCCAGTGGCAGGCCAAATTCCTAGAGCACTGACTTTATCATGTTTGCAGCTGTTATGGCAAGGTCACAGTGGTTTATGTATGTTTGGGGTAACCCATGGTGTGGGAGTTGGTTGACACAATCTTTTAAAACTGTTTCACCCATGGATGCTGAGGATACCAACAACACGACTTTGGAGTCGAAAGGGATGTAGAAAGAAAGCATTGGGCCTAGGCTATTGTTTTGATTTTGTTAAGGAGGTAGACTTAGAAACTTTTAACAGGGCAATTGTCACCATTAAATTTTATTTGATAGATTTTGTTTTTTCTTCTTGTCAACACCATGGTGTGTTTGATCTGATTCATGGTGAGAAACTATTTAACTGAAAGATAAATGGGGCCACACCATCTGATTAGTCCTGCACCATGACTGTGGAATATATTTATTTTATGAAAAAAACCCAATCAAGATATGTATACAAAAGCAAGTCTAGCCAGCTCTAGCTAGCTCCATTCCACTTATGAAATCAGAAATGGAAAATTATTTTAAAAATGTTTAAATCGAGGAGGGTATTGTGTAATATAAGATTTCATAGACAACATGTTAGTCTACATCTTGATTGACTGGAATGATATGGAAGTATGTTAGATGGTAGATCACACGGGGGAGGTAATTTAAACAGCGTCAGACCGCAGGCATATAGCAGGTATATTGCTGAGTGCGACGTTAAACAACAAATAAACAAAACAAATCATATTAAAACACTAAGATCTACTGAAAGTGATATTCATGCTAGCAGACTCAAATGCTTTCAGCAGACTGATTTGGTCACAGGCTTGCTTGGTGTTGTTATCACTACATGAAGTTGTAGCAATATTCCAGCTATATGATTGGTTGGTTGGTTTGTTGTTTAACGCCGCACTCAGCAATATTCCAGCTATATGACGGCGGTCTGTAAAAAGTTGAGTCTGGACCAGACAATCCAGTGATTAATATCATGAGCATCAATCCACGCAATTGGGATCGATGACATGCATCAACCAAGTCAGCGAGCCTGACCACCCGATCCCGTCAGTCGCCTCTTACGACAAGCATGGTCGCCTTTTACGGCAAGCATGGGTTGCTGAAGACCTACTCTACCCGGGATTCCAGCTATATGAAGGCGGTCTGTAAATAATTGAGTCTGGACCAGACAATCCAGTGATTAATGTGATGAGCATCGATCCAATCGATTGGGATACGAAGCCAGTGAGGCTGATCACTCGATCCTGTTAGGCAATCACAGGTTGCTGAAGACCTATTCCACCCCGGATCTTCACTGATCCACTACATGAAGAGTAGTTGAGTGGCTTAGGTTTATGCACGGGGATGCAATAGTTGGCTTCACTTTAAAGCGAACATGCTCCTCTATTACTGCCTATCATCACAAGATATAGAGTTATATTCTGGAAGGTAATTTAAGGTACCGACGTTTACTGCAGTATCTGAAAAACTATCGGACCTACTCCAGTCAAAGTTGGTATGAGATTAATAAACAGTCATACATAACTGGATATTACATTTAAGACAATCGGTGCATGAATAAAAAATCTGTCTATTTAGCTATCACTATATTTCATCAACAACCAGACCTGTTCGTCACGGGTGTAACAAACATTCATTGTAACAGCCATCTGCATAATGCTACCACTGCGTCATAAGGCCATATGACACAGTTGAACCAATCAACTCAACTCGAAAGGTGCACGGGAATCACGCACGTTGAGACACCGAACGCTAACACCGTATTGGCGCGTGCGTGATTCCAGTACAACCTTTCGATCCAATAGTTATTCAGATATTGTAGTAAACGTTGGTACCTTAAATTACCTTCCAGACTATAACATTATTGAAATTCCATGATGTAGTGGTACAGTTGCCATGGAATCTGTTTAAAAACCAGAGTTTTAGTTTTAGCCCATTTTCATCACTCTGTAAGATTTCTATGCCGTTGATGATTCTTACAAACTATTTAATTAAATCTGCTGCAAAACTTGAGTCACGTAAGAGAGATAGCATGTATCGTGTATATATGAGACAGTCTGATAGAAATGGTTTATCCCTCTGCTAGTTCATTTGTGCCTGAGCATTCCGTCTGCTCATCTCATCCCCAAGCATGCTGAGAAATATGACAGAGTATTCTTGTCACCGTGGACCGTCTGCTCGTCATTCACGTTGACATTGGGGTTCATTATTTGTGGCTAATTCATGATACGTAGGCTGGGCTTCCAACCATAGCCACAGGTGGGCCACTTTGTGGGGAGATGGTGTGTAACACTCGTCTCGGTTACCAAGGTTACCAAGTTCTACTGTATGACTGAATACAAGGCAACCATGTTTTCATGATTCACAAATGTTAGTATGAGACATGGAATGACCCCATGGTGATTCAAGGTTAGAATTGCACCCAGCAACCTTAGATGCATGTCAAATAAGAGGTGACAGATGGGATGGGCTGGTCAGGTTGGTCGACTTGGTTCATAGCATACTATCGTGCTCCAACATTACCGATTATTGCTCACAATATCAATCGGGGGCACGGGTGGCCCAGTTGTCTAAGGTGCCGTGATTCGCTGTGCAGAGTTGCATCCCTTGGGCACGCCAGAAACCTATGATTGTGGGTTCGAATCCCGGTTCGCCCCGATTATGTTTCTAGGTGTGTCGGCACCATACCCGTGCTCGTGGGTTTCACCGAAGTGGTAAACGTCTGAGACCTGCATCACTTCGTGCTTTCCTCCCACATTAAGCTGACACGCCGTGATATAACTGGAATACTGTTAAAAGCAGCGTTAAACCCAACTCACTCACTCACAATATCAATCACTGGCTTGTCTTGTCCAGATTTGATATTTTACAGGCCACCATATAGCTGGAATATTGCAGAGCACAACACAACACTTAACAACAAATAAAGAAATGTTTTTTGACAGATATCTAAGTGGTTGGTTGTCACCATGGTCGCAGTTGTGAATGCAACTTGTGGTAAATGATAATCCAATTTGTCCACAGTTGGTTTTCAGACTAGAATTTGTAAGAAAACAAATAGATTTTGGCAAGTCTTGGAACTAGCCGACTAGACATGCTATGGGCCATGTCTCCCCCTGACATTATCAGGATGTCCCAGTCCACGCTATACTTGAACTATACGCAAGAAAGCCACAGCCAGCATGGGGTGTGACAGGTGTCATGGCTGCTGAACATGTTTTGTGCCTTGAAAGCAACTGAAAATAGTCGCCCTTCTTTTTTGCAAATAACTCCCAAAGTTAACTGCCAAGGTGTTTTTTGTTCATGGCTGGAGTAAGATAGAGTCATATAGATTTTCTTCGTTTTGTTTAGGTGCATTGTTTTTCATCGATAGAAACTGACAGTTTTAGTTCACTAGTCGTTATAATGACAACATGTAGTAAGACCCTTAGACCCTCTAACACTGTTTTTGCTATGATGTTTCAGAGCCACGGACAACAAGAAACTAAGAGAGCAGGTCGCTGTGGAGCTGTCATTCTTCAATTCGAACATCCAGCTGTTGAAAGAGGAACTGTGTGGCCTCAACAGCAGCGTAGAGATCTACCAGCATGACAAGTGAGTCGCCCCAGGAACAAGGCACAAAATGGGCACCCTTCCCCTTTAACATGGTTAAAGCCCAGTCTCTGAAATAACTGCCTGCCTGCCAGCCTGTGGCTGGTAACTTTTCTGTCGGGCTGCATGAAATTTTCCTCCACCTGCCCGACTGTCTGGCAGATAATTTTTTAATTTTTTTATAATTCCTTGTAGATTCTCAAGTAACTGTTTGCATTATTATATAGTTATACCAAGGTTCCGTCCAGCCGTCTGTCCGTCTGTCCGTCTGAAAACTTTGTCCGCGCGATCTCTGTTCAGTGGATTCATCTCAAACTTAGTACATATAATCTGTGTCATATTGAGGGGTGCAGTCAAAAGAAAAAATTTCTTTTCATTAATTTTCCATTTTTTTATGAATTTTTCAAACCCTAACCCTATCCATTATTTAATTTGAAACTACTGACACACTAGGTGGGTCGGGGGTATTAGTAAGCCACGCTCACTTTTGCCCTTGTTTCAACTGAATCAAGACATGATTTGTCTCTTATTTTTTGCCATTTTAGAATAATAATGATGTCAATGCAATCAGGTAACTTTGAAGATGGGAAGGCAACATTTGTGGGTCACCTGTCCTTCTGTCTTGTTGGGGTTTAAAATTATTTCAAATTGTGTGAAAGCCTAACACTCCACATTGTTAGCTCATCTGTGTAATTGTGGATCTTGAAACAATTCTTTGAAAGACTCTCAATCAATAGATGTACATTTAGTTGTATTATTCTGCATGTACCTCAACAACAGTATCAACAAGTGTTTGTGTTTCAGCTGTTCCCGATGCGTGCCGATGATACCCCTCGGTCTAAAGGAAACGAAGGATGTTGAATTCAGGGTGCCGTTTATGGTGAGTACATTGCTAAAGCAATATTCCTTGTGAGGAACATAGAACGCTTCCAGAAGAGACCCGTGAAGACCCAGGGTAGAATTGGTCTTCAGCAACCCATGCTTGTCGTAAGAGGCAACTAACGGGATAACGTAGTCAGGCTCGCTGACTTGGTTGATGCATGTCATTGATCCCAATTGTGTGGATCGATGCTCATGATGTCAATCACTGGATTGTCTGGTCCATACTCGATTATTTACAGACCACCATCATATACCCCCCGGTAGCTAGAATATTTCTGAGTGGTGCGTTAAACAACAAAGAAACAAACAAACTATCTTCCAGAAGAACCTAGGATTCCTATTAAGTGCCTACAGTGGGCAGTTGGAAAAGAAGTGTTCAATTTTTTCAAAATTGCCATTTTCTTCAACAGTTCTTATTGTTTGAATTTCAAAGGTATATTAGCATTATATATAGACATTGCATGGAAAGAGAGCCTGGAAATATTTAGGGAACATGTGCTCAAGATTTGTCTGATCTGTGTAGTAGCAGATGAAGGTGTTCATGGTTTGGTAAGGGGACTGAGGTAAGTCAACACGGGTCATGGGTGGCCGAGTTGTCTAAGGCACTGTGCAGAGCAGAGGTTGTACTGGGTGTTGTGTGTTGCAGGATGTGATACTGGAGCACTACAGCGAGGACGGTCGGCTGTTTGACAAGGAGATACAGGAACTGCTGGACCTCAGACAGGTAACTTCCACTTGAGGAGGGGTGGTTGGGTAGCCTAGTGGTTAAAGCGTTCGCTCGTCGCGCCGAAGACCCGGGTTCGATTCCCGACATGGGTACAATGTGTGAAGCCCATTTCTGGTGTCACCCGCTGTGATATTGCTGGAATATTGCTAAAAGCGGCGTAAAACCATACTCACTCACTCACTCACTCCACTTGAGGAGCAATCATTTGCAAAATAGTCGACCATGTGGCATCCCTGCTTCAATGTATGATAAAGTAGACACAATTTAGCTCGTGCTTGACAACGGTATAAGGATCTATACCAAAACGTCACCTTTACAGTAAATAAAGAAGTTGTTATCCCAAAATTGTGTCTACTTTGTCATCTGTTAACTTCTAAGTAATGCTTATAAAACAATTGAATGTATTATTGTGGGCACCAATAGCCCTGGTTCAGTTATCTGTGTATTACGTCTGCATTTTGTGATCTACTACCCAGTTCACTCTCTCACTCTCGACATCGGGGGTATCCTGGAGTACGTGTTTATGCTTGTGTTTTGTGTTGCAGGCCATTCGGACGCCGCTGAGGGACTGGTCTGGCGTAGAGCTACTCACTGAGTACTTCAACCAGCTGTATTACGTGGAGAGGCGGTTCTTCCCTGAAGAGGGAAACCTGGCCATACACTTTCACTGGTATGTTTGCCAGGATAGCAATTGCTTGTCGTAAGAGGCGACTAACAAGATCGGTTGGTCAGGCTCGCTGACTTGGTTGATGCACATCATCGAATTCCAGCTGGTAGCTCATGATGTCAATCACTGTATTGTCTGGTCTAGATTTAATTTACAGACCGCCGTCATATAGATGGAATATTGCTGAGTGCGGCGTTAAACGACAAACAAACAATCTATGATGACAGACAGTAAGAAAGTGTAGCATCTGCCTTGTTTGTTGCCTGGCTATTTGGTCTTGACCTATTTGTGAGTATTTGTCCAGTAAATGCTTCATGTTGACAGGTATGACTCCCTGACTGGCGTCCCCAACACACAGAAGGCTATAGGCTTTGAGAAGGGGAGTGTGTTGTTCAACATTGCGGCTCTCTGTACACAGATTGCATGTAAACAGGTCAGTTGGTATTATGTCACATCGTGACACTGGGAAGCCCCGGAACGTGGTGAAGGTCTCTATTGACCTTGGGGTCAAGACGAGTCTTAGAATGTAGCCATAAGGGGGCGGTGGGGTGGCATGGTGGCTAAAGCATTCGCTCTTCATGCTGAAGACCAGGGTTTGATTCCCCACACCGGTACAATGTGTGAGGCCAAATCATGTGTCCCCCACTGTGCAAGTATTTCTTTTGCAAGTATTTTCTATTTCCATTTCCATAAACCATAGAGAAATTAGGCCACGCCTGACTGCTGTTTCCTGATTGGCTGATGATAGAATGTGTTGGGGTTGTTATTGTGTTGAATAATGTCACTGATTTCATGTTCTTGTCCATAGTTATTTTTGTGTTAATGATTAAATAAGCTCAAGTCTTTGAAAGGCATTTAGAAGTGATACACATAAGGAAGAAAGTTTTTGGATGTCAACTTCTTTATTATCAGGAATGCAACGTTTCGGAGTAAATGTTTACTCCTTTATCAGCTGAATGAAGGAGTAAGCATATACTCCGAAACGTTGTGTTCCTCATTAAGTTTTGATTATCCCCGTGTTATGGGTAATCGGACTCTTAAGAAGCATTCATAGTTTTCTCTCTAATCACATGAACAACTGTAATATATCTCACTCACATATAATAAAAAACTTGCTCTTATAAACACGCCATCATCTAAGTATTTACAATGTCTCTGTGATGCTACACTCTCCCATTATAGCGCGATAAAAATGGACGTCCCGAAAACCTATGATATATGACACACAAGCAATTTGATATGTTCGAGGCTGAGAAAAGTGGAGCATTCATTAAAGGGATGAAAATTATCCAAGAAAGTCTACTAGGCTGAACAGTGATAATCCCCCCCCCCCTTTCCTAATCTAACTCCCGGTTCGCCCCGATTATGTTTCTAGGTTTGTCAGCACCATACCCGTGCTCGTGGGTTTCACCGAAGTGGTAAACATCTAAGACCTGCATCACTTCGGGCTTTCCTCCCACATTAAGCTGACCTGCCGTGATATAACTGGAATACTGTTAAAAGTGGCGTTTAACCCAACTCACTCACTCACTCACTCCTAATCTAACTGGTCTTGGTTACCTGGCTAGTGCTATATTCTATACCTGCATCTTTTTTTAAGGAATTATCAGTCAATACAATACCGGTTCAATCTAAAAATTGTCTAGCAGCAGGTCACTTAGATAGAAGTAATCTTGTGGGTTGCAGGATCGAATGTCCACGGCAGGTTCAGAAGAAGCGATTCGATCATTTGAGAAAGCAGCAGGGTACTTCCGCCATCTGGAAACCCACTTCAAACATGCCCCGAGCATGGACATGCGGCCGGAGACCCTCACCATGCTGGTGGAACTACTGCAGGTAGGGAACTCCCTTAACTCACCCAGTCTCTGTCAGGATGGCTGCTGGCCTTCGTTTCACTTTTTATAGATAATTGTTTTTGAAATTTAGATGTACTCTTAAGTTTCCAATCGGCAAAGATGGCCCAGTTGTCTAAGGTGCTGCAATTTGTGTGCAGAGTTGCATCCCTTGGGCACACCAGACACCTATGATCGTGTTTTTAACTCTGGTTCTAGGTTTGTCAGCACCATACCCGTGCTTGTGGGTTTCACCGAAGTGGTAAACGTCTGAGACCTGCATCACTGTGGACTTGCCTACCACATTAAGCTGACATGCCGTGATAAAACGGGAATACTGTTAAAAGCGACATTAGACCAAACTCACTCCAATTGAAAATATGAGGAGGTTCATGTACTGATCATTGACTTTAGACGTTAGCAATACTTCAGTATTTTCCAGACATGTATATATTATGTTATGAATTTCAAAAATCTTTAAATAATGTATGACTTACTGATTGTTGCTAATAAATGTGTAATTATCTATAACTATAATGAGTTATTGAACATCTGAATTAAATTATATTAAATATTTTTCTCAAGAATTGACATTCAAAGTATCAGTATCAGGGGATAAAGATTTGTTTTGCATCATCCAAACATCAAATCTAGGACAATTTGGAATGATGATAATTATGTGACATAACAGTGCCAGTTCAGTAACTTTCAAACATAATGACAATGCATAATTTTTCAAATAAATCATTGAGCTGCTTGATGGTGATAGAGTCCCGGGTGAGTGTCAGCCATGATTCCAGTACCGGCACATTCACAGTGGCCTACACATTGATGTGTGTTTCAGGCTCAGGCGCAGGAGTGTGTGTTCGAGAGTAAGACCGTCCACGGCCTCATGGACGGGGTGCTGTCCTTGGTGAAGGTCGCCCAGGAAGCTGCATATGTGAGTGGATTTTCCCCTTAAAGTGGGCTGGACTCAAAATGGCAGTCCCTGCCAGTTTCTTTCAATCCCTTGAAAGTAAACATGTTTTGTGTGGCTTCTCAAATATTCTGAGGGAAATATATCCATGACAAGGAATATTATGGATAATAACTTCTTTAATATATATACAACGTTACAGGGCTACTTCTTTCCCCTTCATTCACCTTTTATACGATGTTGTGTATGTATTATTAGGAGATAAACATCCTCGGTTTTCAATGTAGGGCTAGGTTACCTGGAGATTTTAGATTGTATTTGGAACCGAACATGCAGCTTGAGGTTTCAGTGTTAGATTTAGTGCAGTTATATTTCCAAATTCACAGTAGAATAAAGAAGTTGTTATCTGTAATATTCTTTGTCATAATATTATCCTGCTTCTATATGCCAATAAAGATATGAATCTTGTGGTTTATCATTGCCCTATTTATGAAAAATTGTAAAATTTCACAAATGTCACTAATTTCAACATCTAGATATAGACTGGAAATGGTTACAGACTATCAACAATGGTCTTCCTCAGATATTTAGGTTGATAAAAACACACAAGATTATGAATCCAAATTTTGCTGCATTTATAATCACAATTATTTCTCTGGATGATAGGTCTCTGAAAGATTCAGAGTCACTCATAGACTAATGTCTGCTGAACCCGTCAAGAGTTATCTCCCCTTCACGTGGACAGCCATGGCACAGACCAAACACTACTACTACAAGGGACTTGCTCATTCAATAGTCGCCACGGCACTCATGGACCAGAAAGGTAAGATTGAAGTGATAGACAAGTGATGTGGATAGCCTGCCTCATTTCAGATGTTTGTTGACGATGAATACACCCCCATCAGGATTCCGGGCTATAATTGTCCCCCAACCTACGCTCGTCATAAGAGGCGACTTATGACTTGAGTCAGACTCCGTGACTTGGTGGATTGTGTGTCATTGTACCCTGATGCATGGATCATTACTCATCATATCAATCACTGGATTATCTGCTCAAAGCTAGGCTATTAACAAGCCATTTTTACCCATAAAGATCCAGGTTAGAATAGATCTTCAGCAACCGATGCTTGTTGTAAGAGGTGATTAACAGGATCGGGGGATCAGACTCGGTGACTTGGTTGATGCATGTCATCGTATCCCATTTGCATAGATCATGATGTTATCCCTGGATTGTCTAGTCCAGACACGATTATTTACAGACCGACGTCAAATAGCTTGAATATTCTTAAGTGCGGCATTAACAAACAAACAATTACACAAGCTGCTGTCATAGCTGGAATTTTGTGGAGTGCGGTGGTAATCAAAAGAATTATAAGATCAAAACATGTCTTCACACCTGTAATAACATGGCCTGTTGAAAGGTATGCGACATAGGCAGAGTGGAGAATGAGTGAGTGAGTGAGTGAGTTTGGTTTAACGCCGCTTTTTTAACAGTATTACAGTTATATCGCGGCATGTCAGCTTAATGTGGGAGGAAAGCCCGAAGTGATGCAGGTCTCAGACGTTTACCACTTCGGTGAAACCCACGAGCACGGGTATGGTGCTGACAAACCTAGAAACATAATCGGGGCGAACCGGGATTCGAACCCACAATCATAGGTTTCTGGCGTGCCCAAGGGACACAACTCTGCACAGCGAATCGCGGCGCCTTAGACGACTGGGGGAGTAACAGGGCATCAGCGGATCCCAATGATTTGTCAGCTGTACATGGAACTAGTGGTCAAAGAAATGGTGACTCAAAAACCCACAGTTTGTCTACAAATTAATTAATCTTCAACGTTGACCCTTTTTTTAATCCAGTCAGATGTTACCATGTACACGGACAATCAGTCTGTTACCAATTGTTTGTTTGTTTTTGTTGTTTTATGCCACACTCAGCAATATTCCAGCTGTATGATGGCAGTCTGTAAATAAGTCTGGACCAGGCAATCCAGTGATTGACATCATGAGCATCAATCTACACAATTGGGATACGATGACAGCGAGTCTGACCACCCGATCACGTTAGTAGCCACTTATGACAAGCATAGTTACCTTTTATGGCAAGCATGGGTTGCTGAAGACCTACTCTAACCCGGAACTTCACGGGTCGTGTTACCAATTGTACAAGTATTAACTGAGTTGACTGAACTGTGACTTGCAGACAGTGGAGACCTGGACAAGCTGAAACAGATGATGGAGAAGCTGCATGTTGGTGCCGACATTCGAGATGAAAACAACGGCCTCAAGATCCCAACAAATGACAACGACAGAAAGATTCTAGGTGAGTCCCGTGATGGGTTATCAGTAGGGGCTCACTTGGAGAATTTTCTTAAAAAGTTGTTTTTGTTAAAACTCCATAGGAACCCTTCCTTCACTGGTCTTCAAGAATTTGTAGCCAGTCCTGCTTGAACGAGACAAACCTGTTTAACATAGTTCCATTTTCTATCAGATTTATTCCATTCCAGTTTGTAGCAAAATTGAACCCTTGGGAACTGGTTCAGAATTATAGCCCTCAAATGCTACTAGTCAATGAGGACTACCATAATTGGATTTTTATGTAGTTCAGCACAAATTAAAGGCCTTGGGATCGCAGACAAGTGTGAACTTTGAAAGCTGATTAGTTTTGGGGGGCTCATGACTGAAGTACTGTTCCACGCGTGGTTCAACTCACTGACTGACCGCTGTGTTGCAGGCAAGGCTCATCTGCGGGAGTCGGTGCTGAGCCACGAGGAGGCCCTGCGTGTTCACGACCTCTGTAAACAGCTGCGGAAGATTGACACCTTCCGGGACCTGCTGCAGAAGGCTCACGAAAGGTAGGCTACAAAAGTTGTGTCATTACCAGCGTTAAACAAGTGATTAAAAAACCCATATGTGACTCGCAAGGAGAAAAGGGACCTTATGCTAGAATACAATTGTGCCATGAAGTAATAAGACTTTGGACGTCAACTTACTTCAGTGAAGATCGCCATGTGTGAATACTATACGAAAACATCTTATTTTCCCTTCTTAGTTTGTAATGTAATAAAAACATTATTTCAAAACCATTCTACTTTCAAATCATCAGACTTTATGTCTAAAAACTGCAATTATTACATAAACAGTTATAAGTCGGAAAATGAGTCTAAATGTTTGATGTCATGTATGTCTGTAATAAATATGAATTGAATCTTGCGATTGTATTTTTGAGTTCTGAAGATACTGTAGTTTTAAAATATAATGAAAAGTCAAAATGTGATTTTCACTAACAAGGTCTCTTATGTCATGGTTGGTCACATGTATTTTCATGTGAAAACACTTTGATATATTGCACATGTTTGGAAATGAAAAGACCCTCAACATTTTGTTATTTTGTAAGCGGTGACTTAAATGGGGGTCAGGTGGACAATATGTCTTCAGAATATGAATAATAGCACTGGGATGGACCACTTACAGCTGTGACAGCTAAAGGAGGGAGGTGTGAAGGCAAGGGTATTGCTGGTCAAGTTGATTGAAATAATAGTCCAATGAGAGTGACCTCCCTTGGGTCAGACTACATGTTTTGAACCTGTCTGGAATAACACAGAGCTGTTACACTGGATTTGGGTATTTTATCACCCTTGTCCGTCAAATGCTTGGATTGATTTTCACATCATCAAGCTATGGTTTTCCTGTTCCGAACAGCCACAGAATCCCTTGACAGAGGTGCACTATTGTAACGAAACTCGTTCACGCCCTTTGAAAGGTTAGAGTTATATCTCTTAGCTGCCAGTGATATAACTGAAGTAGCGGCTGTTAAAATCTGTTAACCTATGGGCTCAGCACAGTGAACCGCACTCACTCTTATCTGCAGTGATATTGCTGGAATATTGCTAAACTGATGTGAAACCAAACACACTCATTCACTCACTCACTTTGTAGTGATATTGCTGAAATATTGGTAACGTGACTTAAAATCAACTCACTCTGTCTGCAGTGATATTACTGGAATATTGCTAAAGTGACATAAAATCAACTCACTCACTCTATGCACAGGACGCTGGAGAAGTTTGAGGGCCTGGAGGAAGAAGACGATTTCTCGGAGCTGCTGACCGTGCCTCGCATCGAGGGAAAGGCAGAAAGGGAAACAAACCCAATGCCTCCTGAGTTCTCCAAGGTCAAGGTCTTGGACATCTTTGCCACACTGGTGAGACATTTTATTCCTTATGTAATGGCATTGAGATTGTATCAAATGGACACAACATATTAAATAAAATGATTGGTTAGTGTGATGTGTCACTAGAGGGTTGTACAGGTTTTATACAAGACTGTGTCACCTTGATGCTGCCACATGTGACCATGGTCACAAATACTACTGTTCCGTGAAATATGTTTGTGTCACGTGAAGATCTACAATATGCCCGCCTTTGGACTTGTATGGTGAGGTGTGGTAAGTGGGGCAATTGTGATGTAGTTGATGTATTTGGGAGTTATCATTAAATAGTTTTAACGTTCTGTTGCCTTTCAGGGTCCGATCACAATATTCAATTCACGGAATGAATGGTCAGCAGCCCGGAGAGTACAACTAGATCGCAGTGAGGATGAAGGTTTTGGCTTCAGCGTGCGTGGAGATTCGCCTGTGATGGTTGCTGAGATTGAACCAGACAGTGTAGCAGGCGTAAGTGTTCCTTGTGTTGGTTGGTTGAATAATTACAGTAATATGTAATAATTGGGCATTCTTTTACTTCTATTGAGTGGGACTCGTGAAGATCCGGTTTAGAATAGGTCTTCAGCAACCCATGCTTGCCGTAAGAGGCGACTTTGCTTGTCGTAAAAGTCGACTAACAGGATCAGGTGATCAGGCTCGCTGACTTGGTTGATGCATGCCATCAATCCCAATTGCGTGGATCCATGCTCATGATATCAATCACTGGATTGTCTGGTCCAGACTCGATTATTTACAGACCGCTGTCATATGGCCGGAATATTGTTGAGTGCAGCGTAAAACAACAAACAAACTATTGAGTAGTATACACTGCCTCCTAACTGGTATTGGTATGTTTCCTTGCAGAGGAGCTCCATGAAGGTTGGGGATTTCGTTGTGGGAGTCGGAACCATGGATACGAAGTGGGCCAAGCATGAACAAGTGGTTCAGCTGGTTCGACAGGCTGGGAGCTCGCTGGAACTCCGATTGATTACTCCCATGGGCCAGAGCTTTTTGGAAAGACTTAATGCAGATCGACCATATTCAACCGTCAGCTTACCTGCGTCACCTGTGAGAATGCAGAGTCCGAAGAGCAGTGTCTCTAGCGAGAAGAGCAACAAAAGTCGCCTCAGTGCACCGTGGATTTTCATGAGGCGGAACTCTTCAAAGGAAAAGTCAGAAAAAAGAAAGTCATCGGATGAGTTTGATGATGATATCGTGTCCAGGTAGACTCATTGTTGAAGTGTTCAACGTAGTTGCTTCATAAAAGGCCATGTTTACAAAAGGCTGTGTTCATGAAAGGCTTTGTTCATGAAAGGCGGTGTTTGATTTTGTTGGTATGTGAGACACACCAAGAAATGTCTGCATTGACAGTGCTGTGTTTCCATGGAAACTAATTCATGTTTAAGTGCTGAGGTGCAACCATTGTGTTCAGTGTTTGGGATTATGACATAGCGCTTAGCTGTCCTCACAAGATCAATTGTTGACTTTTAGGAGGTTATAAGTCGAAAGGTACAGCTGAAATATGTACATTCCCTTGTGAGAGAAAAATGGATTCCATCTTCCTCTGGCTATAACTAGCGTATCCTTGTTTGAAGGTTTTTGTTCTTCCCAGTTTGTGCTGAGGATTGTGTTAAAGATAGCCAGCCAGCTGACAATTGTGTTCATAGTATCCAGCTGACAATTGTGTTCACGGTAGGCAGCTGACAATTGTGTTCATGGTAGTCTGCTGATGATTGTGTTAAAGATAGCCAGCTGATGATTGTGTTAAAGATAGCCAGCTGATGATTGTGTTAAAGATAGCCAGCTGATGATTGTGTTCATGGTAGCCAGCAGTACTGAATGTGCCACCAGTATTATAGGTTTACAAGACTTGCTTGCCCTGTAACGACTTTCTATTACTTATATAGCTAGGGCTATGTGTTGACTGGAGTCAGGGAGGCTGGCTGCTGCTTTGTGGAGAGGAGACTGAAGACACACCCCGAGACATCCCAGTGTGGCAGTCACTGGGGTGTGGTGTGGGGATCACATAAGAAGATGAATGTGTTTGTTCCAAGTGTTGAAGTGAAAATTTGGGAAAGTCTACTATCAAATGTTTTATTTGATGCTAATTTTCTTGCTTTTCTAGCAGTTGTTACTTATACTTGTTTTGAAACTGATGTAGATGTCACCCAAATTTGAGTTTGCTACTTATGCTAACCTGACAGTGAGAACCAGCTACTACGTGTTATGGATGGGAACAACTGGACCGAGTTTCTTGAAACATAAGTTAAACAGTAACTTATAAACTAACGTGTAACTTAAGAAATATCTATACTTAAATGCAAGTTCAGGGTACCTGATTTACGTTCTTTGACTTTGATGTTTCAGATTGTAATAATATGAAATCGATGCTCATGATGTCAATCACTGGATTGTCTGGTCCAGACTTGATTATTTACAGACCACACTCATACAGCTGCAATATTGCTGAGTGTGGCATTAAACAACAAACAAACAAACAAAAGCTAAATGAAGCAGTGGGTTAGTGCAACCATGGACCAACAGAGTTGTTTTGAGGTTGCATTTACGTGGGTGGTTGATGGGGAAGTTATTTGAGGCAGTGTTTAGGTTTTGTACTTAACTATAGGATAACCGTTACATCCATTACTGTTTAACAGGGTCCTTTAGGGGTGTCACGATGCACTAAGTTACCCCTGACGATACGTCATTTATACACCTACCCGTGTATTGATTCATATTGTAATTCTGTGTGAATTTACAAAGTTATGTTCAAACAGTTTTACAATAACCTGTCCTGATAGTCAGGCTACTGTTACCTTACAGCCCATCCTGAAACATGTGGCTAAATCTGACAGCTTGATGATATTAGTGTGAACCTATATTGACCAGTTGTTTAATTGTAACAAGAGTTACTTCATGACCACAACCTGATGCGCAGTGTACATGCAACATGAAGAATTCCATGTGCGTTTTATATATCGGAAACGTATCATACCTTGACTCTAAGATAATGGTACGTATCGTATCTAACTCGACTAGTGTGACATGTATCATTACACGTAACTCTGTTAGGATCGAAGTATGGGTGTTAAGCTTCATACAGAAATGCTTTTGTTCGTTGACAGGAGACTCATATAGTCCTACATTCCACACACTTGAGCAAACATGAAATACATCTAAATGTAGTGTTAAATGTAGTGATGAGTTGTATCATTCCAGACTGAACTGTGGCTTAATTATCAACTCCACACAACCACCCACACACCCACCCACCCACTCACTCACTCACTCACTCACCCACTCATTCATGGTTGTCCTAAGTACAGAGAGACAGTGTCTCAGTTTGACACAAGCCATCGATTACATGTACTGATAATAGACGCCACACTATGGAGCACAGTCCCTTCACATAACTACAGTACGTGGGTGTGTTGTGAAACCCTTCCTTGACAGCGAGGGAAATTTAGATTGTAAGCAAACTTGCTGCAGTACTTTTTATAAACACTTGTAACACATGTCTTAAACAGCCCTAACACAAGCAGGCCATTGCTGTGGATCTAACACAGTGATATCACAAACATATTGCCATACTACTTTCTGGACAACACATTGTAGAACAGTCTGAATCATTGTGACCAAACCAGGCGCTTTCAACAACTACAACAAGCAAATTTAACAATATCCAACCCACTAATCAACGACAAGTTTGAAATTGTGGCTAGCTAGTTATTTTGTTGTAACGATTTCTATGTGTAAGGTTGCGTGTTTGCTAAGTTCTAGCTACGTCACTATTGGAGATATGTTGGTGTTGACATGGTTCAGATGCAAACCGGAATGTGATGGGTTTGTTGTGAACTTGGTGGATTGTGAGGTAGATTCCAAGTCTTCATAAATGGAGAATCTCACCGAAGTGTCTTTTGATATCAAATATATCTACACGAGATGATATGTTTGATATCAAAAGATAAGGTTGAGATTCCATTTATCATGCAACATCATTCTTCCAACTTTTTCAGTTTGTAGACAGTAAAAGCAGTAAAAAGTACTGCTAACAGCTTCAGTAGCATTAGTGATGTCATTTGATTGTGACGTCATGGTAACCAATGATGTCACAATGGTCTGCAAAGCATTGTGTTGCAATTTCATTGCAGCGATATCTACAATGTAGATATTGCTTGATCTCACCCAGGGGATATCTCCAGTTTGGGATGATGACTAGCCATACGTACATTGCCAAGATTAGCCTACTCTTCCATGATGAACTTATAACATCATACCCTTCCAGTCAACCATTAGTATCTAGACAACCATGTTTGCTGTTCCCCGCACATCGATGATAAGGGTGCCAGGGTACAACGTTACCATTGCTTGCCCCCCTTTATGTATCACGATGCTTGCCTCATGAACATCATAGGTTCAGTATCATGATGCAGATTTGTACCATTGCACTATATTTAGAAATTTCCATTCCAACTTTTTAATCTATTAAGGTCTACACTCAAATCATAAAAAAGAAAAATGATTGAAACATTTCTTTCTTTGTATTGATTTGAGAAAACAAACTGCATTGATACCTTTGAAGATCTGGATAAATCATTGGATTGTCTGGTCCAGACTTTATTATTTACAGACCGCCGTCATATGGCTGGAATATTGCTGAGTGTGGCGTTAAAACCGCCAGCAAACAAACAAACATGAATTGCATTGTAATATCATGAATTGTAAGACCATGTATCTAGGTGACAAATTGACTGCATTGTGGCACCTCTGTCTTTAACGAATGGCATAAACTCATGTTTACTAATGTGAAGTATTTGTTTACTATGTTTACTGTGTTTACTAACTTGGTTTAACATTAACAGCATTGTGAGTACAGACCCTACTCGGAGGATGAATACTGTCAGTACAGGCGAGATTATGGCATCCATTACCTGCTGTAGTATATCTGCATTCCACTGTCATAAATACTCCAGACCTATCTGCTACCATAGCTTTGTTCTAGAGGTGACGTCACCGCTCATGACCTTGAAATCAACAACAATTCAAACTGCCTCTTCCGACAAAAATCATCATCCAAACTCACAGCCCCGATGATGATACTTTGATATGCTTCATCAAATTGGAAGGCTAAACAAAGGGGAGGGAACTCCATATGCTACACGAAGCACCTAGTTGTATTTAAGATGAACGATTAGATGAGTTAAGCACTGGTGAAACCGCTGCTTGTTTTACTTATGAAAGAACAATGCCATTTGATTGGCTTGCTAATTTTATCTGACTGAAACTGAAGCTATGGTGGCAAATGGGTGGAGGGTATTTATCAACATGGATATATGATACGCTACATTAAGAAGGATGGAGATTAGTGCTGTCTAGTATGGGCCTGCCTCGTCCCCATCTCCCATGGTGCATGTTTATGACTTGTTCCTCTGAAAGGAACAAATGCAGTTTTTCCATACGTGTGTTGTCGGTTCGATATTTAATGGTAGGAAGGTTGGCAGCTTAATTGTCAAATTGTGACTATTTATTTGTGAAATATCAAATTGTGTCCTTCTAGTCTGCCAGTGCATATTGATAAACAATCATTGTCTACGTGTATTAATGAACTCATTTATCTTTTTGTCATTTTTTTTACATTTTTATGAAATATAATCTTGAGTTAGATGATAGTTATGGCAGTTAACATAGACACATATTTGTCACTTATAAGCCTATGTAGATCAGTGATTAAACACTGGTAGTAAAGAGATGGTTTGAAAAGATGAAAGGTAGAGATGAGAGTGATGCACTACATGCCTAGGCGCGTTCCACACAGCGATATTAGCACCTTGACAATCGTAACTCACATGCTCTAATATAGACTTACGATCATCGTAGCTGAGATGGCTTTGTGGAACTGGCCCCTGATGGTATTTTGGTTGAATTATTATGATGTTAATAAGTCATGGACTTTGATAATCTTTTAAGAATGTGATGTAATTTCTGTTTTTTGTCCATTGACGTGATTTACTGGCCAGATTCTGTAGTAATGGAGGTAGATTATCACTAACCATGGTATCTGTCCCCTGTTTACTGCATAGCCTGATACCTCCCCACTTGGTGTAGAAGTCCCTAGTACTGGTCAGTATTGTAGAAGTCCCAAGTATTGGTCAGTATTGTACCCATCCCAGCAGACACCTCCAGCATAAACATGTTGTCATAATACGCCCCGAAAAGATGTGTTTCCTGTTTCAGCCCATCCAAAGGCCGCAGTTTAATTGTATTGTTTCCCAATTGTCATATTTTCTCCTTGGAAAACAGTAATTTGCAGTACTTGTCAAGACCTGGTTTCAAATGAGTATAATTATTCGGTTATCTATACTAAGGTGCAACAAGTTTATGCTAGTTGCATGTAGTACAGGCAATGCCAGGATTGTCCAATTGAGAAAACAAGCTTAGTGTTGGGAGCTCCAGATTTGGATCTGTCGGGAAACTTGAAACACACATATTTTTGCCGAGTGTACAGTCTGCCAGTGTCACCAGTGGCTGTCGCAGAGACAGACTTAAGTATCTGGAAGCACTGATCACAGTCCATTTATTCCATCTTCAGGGAATATTTTTGTAGATTCAAACTGTTTGGGATTCTATTCTCAAAAATCAATTCATGGTCAAATGTTATATGTGTACTAATTTACGAAAAAATACAACAGTTTTGGATCTGCTTTTGATGTGTTTCACATCAGGTACCCCAATATGAACTTTGAGGTGTGTTCATGGCCAGTTGGACATGTTAGAGGTTCTTGTGAATCATAATACAGTAGAACATGGATATTACGAACTACGAGGGACTCGAGAAATCATTTCGTTATATCAGTTTTCACTTGGGAACGTCCACCATCTTGCACGTAATTGCAGCATTACACTGAGTGAGTTTTCTCAATTCGCTATACAAGTCACTAATTAGTGGTATTTGGCCTTTGATCAGATATCAGTACGTTAGGTTGAGAGTTTGTTATATATGTATATTTTTATATGACAATATAGAGGAGATGAACCAGGGATTTTGTAACAGTTCGTTGTATCTGTTTGTTCGCGCTATCCGTGTTCTACTGTACTTGTGCTCTGTGGCACGCCCGGTGGACACTGCTCGGCTTTAGTCAATGGATTCTGCAGGCAGAATTCACATTGTACAGACAGATGTGTCTATTTATTCATAATACACTAACCACTCATATGTCTGTAATCAAATGTATTTTTCCATAGCATGTGTTCGCCCACCTGTGTTGTATATAGTTGTAGCGCAAAGGCAGGGAGGAGAGCCTCGACCGTTTGTTCTGTTCAAGTGGTCTGTTTATGAGGATATGGTGTATGTTAGTTGGAGATTGTAGCAGTGTTCTGTAAACCATTTCTGTAGATTTCTATGTTCAGATTTCAAGCTCTGGTATGACTATGTTACAACAGCTAGCACATTTTGGGGGATAAAAGATGTGATTTTATTTAATAATGAAATATACAGGTTATCCTTGTTGCAGGTCTTTCCTAGCTGTGTGTACCGGTAGTTTATGTAGGTTTTTACATGTGGTGCCTCAAATATGTGGCTCCCATCCACACAGAGTAGGACATCCTTATGATAATAAAGCTGGAGATGTTTAGACGTTTGTCTGCCCACAGTCTTGCCAATGATGGACCAACGCAACCTGTATGTGTTGCTCTTAGTTACAGTGGGTCTTTGTTAATCCAGAAACCTTGCTAACATGACCGTTAGAGGAAATATACCTAAAGAGAAGTGTTGATGCAGTTGCCCACAAATTGGATATTATTGTCATTATTGACATTCTATTTTCGGGACTGATTCCTGTGATGTTATAAAGGTTGGACTTAGTTATTCTGATGTTTTGATCCCGAAAGTGATATCTGTGATTTGTAAGTTTAAATTATCGAACCAGCTCCATTGATGGTATGCTATTCAACTATTGACAGAAACAGTCTGTATATCAACAAATAATACAAACATCAAACAATATTGTTGTCAGCATCTCAGCTGATGTGCTACTCAGTACAACTAACTATGTTGCTACCAGACCTGAAAAGAACTTGTGTTGTATTGAGGAGAAAATATTTTTGTCAGACCCTATACTTTAATAACTGACCAATCACTGTCGACAGTCTAGGAAAAAAATAACCAGTCAGTGTGTTTTTGTGATCCCAATTACATTATTTACTTAATATACGTCATATATGCTACAACTTATGCAAGTGCTGATCCCTCCACACCATGTTGTTCTTACTGAATACATCTGTCCAATTATCACCACGGTCTGTCCTTCATTAGCTGATAATGTGCCTTGTATATGTCGATATGCATACTTTGTCTCTCCAGCATGTGATTTTTATGAGATTATGTAAACCTATAAAATATTACAGCAATGTTTGAAAACACTTGTTGCAGTTACTTCAGTGTTTGTGAATACATTTCACAAGATTGGCATGTTATATTTTCAGTTTTATGTAGATGAAGTATATTCCTAGCTAATAATCGATGATATACTACTCAAAACAAGTTGATAGGAAGGCTGTGTTGCAATATCCACCAGCCCTGACAGATTAACGATAGTCATATGAAAAAATCAGGTGTTCTTGAACTTTTTTTGAGTAGTATGCTATAATTTGTCAGACTTTGTCCTCATATTTGTGAATCTGCAATGTTAAGTTCTATTCTCATCAGCAGGTTCCTGACATGGCAATCTGTGGTGTAATTGCTGAAGTAGTGTAGCGTCCAATCAAAATGCAATTATGAAGTGGCCTCACGTCAGACATTTAAACTAAGACTTACAGCATTTCCCTTGATGTGCAATGTGTTGAGTTGAGTACTAGTGATATTGATGCCAGTATTACACTTTGCATATGAGGATATTCTAGTCAGGCTTGGCTAGACAACTCATGTCATACTTTAGTCACACTGTGTATATTTGAATGGCTTCCCGCTTAATGCTACGTCTTTAGAGTGTATTGAGTGAGTGAGTTGGGTTTAACACCGCTTTTAACATTATTCCAGTTATATCACGGCGTGTCAGCTCGATGTGGGAGGAAAGCCCGAAGTGATGTAGGTCTCAGACGTTTACCACTTCGGTGAAACCCACAAGCACGGTTATGGTGCTGACAAACCTAGAAACATAATCGGGGCGAACCGGGATGCGAACCCACAATCATAGGTTTCATAGGCCCAAGGGACGCAACTCTGCACAGCGAATCACGGCGCCTTAGATGACTGGGCCACCCGTGCCCCCTTTAGTGTATTGAAATACTCACCACTTTCACAAATACCATCAATCATCTATACTACTGAAAAGAAGTTAAGGCCCACCAAATTCCTTCATTTTACTATAGTTAATCTGTTCGAACATGACAGATTAACTATAGTAATATGAAAGAATCAGCTTAGATTTTTCAGTAGTATATGATTAGTTCACAGGAATTTTGAAATACAAGAAATGCGCTGATCACTTGAAACAAGAGTGTAAATACCGCTGCTGGTGAAACAAATTTAGGATTTGCTATTTTGTATCCCAATTGAGCCTTATAGTCCTATCTGAATGTTTTGTAACACTCCATCTTGTTTAAGAGGACATAGGTATACATGATTGTTAGAAACATTACTTTTCATTGATCTGCTTGTACATGTTACTCCATGAAGTGCTAGCTTGCTCTCTGCCTTACTAACAATTTGCCAGTGAGATCACTAGATATATTATTTTCTATTATCTACGTATGGGTCAGTATGTGGCCATGTATATTGTACCAAGAGTATTATTTTCCACTACGCATGTTGTAACAGTTTGTACATGTGTAAAGACTGTCCTCACTTTGTTCGTTGTCACGTTCATAATGAAGACAATTTTAGCAATATGGACGCTCCTCCTCATGGTAGCTTGTAGTTGTTTGTTTTTTCGGTTTGCGTCATGTTTGTTTAGTTGTTCATATTCAACACAGCATAATTATAATGTGTTCTCTCCACCTGTCAATATTAACTCTCGTGTAGTCTTCCCATTGTGTCCAGAGTTGTCTCCCCTTGACCACTTCACCAGTGCCTTTGTTTTGAGATGGTTAAGATGCTATTCTGTTTTGTAATGTAAATTATTTCATATAAGAATATAATATGTATACCATGATCTATTGGGAGATTTGTTAATATGCCAGCCACTATTTCAATATTTGACGGCAAATATGAGTGTAACAAATTGATTATTCAAAAACAGGAGATGTGAAGTAACCTAGTGGTTAAAGTGTTTTGATTCGATTCCCACATTGGTACAATTTGTGAATATTGCTAAAAAAAAAGGAAAAATTCACTCAGGCCCGAAATAGAAAATTGCTCACTAGAAATATGCCATTACCCCTTAAACATGTGAGGAAATAGTAAAATAACATTTAAGTTTTTGGTTAAATGTACATTTTTAAACGGCCTCCCTTATGAAGTCATGTTCCTGCTCCAAACTGTCTGTTCCTCAGAAACAAACACTCTCGTTTCTGTATTGTGTGGAGAAAGCTGGCACAGGAGTAGTCAAGGGGAGATAAGTGGTGTGGTCCACCTGCAGTGTTACTTTTTGAAGGGGGCTTTTGCAAAGCTTGTGAATAGATACTTACATTATTGCGATAGTTTCATACAGTGTTATATTATATTTTTGACAGTTGATGAGTTAATAAAAGCAATATAATGAAATTTCTGGCTTTTCTTTTCATGGGGATTGAGAACAGCTGGTCTCGTGTTCAGGGTCTTGTGATGACCGACTTCAGACCTCTAGGCCAGCATGCTTCTTGTTGTAGGTAAGGGCGGGCCGGCCATTCCAGTGATCTGGCCCAGGCTTATATGCAGGCTGCCGAGACACAGCCGGAACAGATCCGCCTCAGCATGTTTCAAATAAATCTGATATAAGTTACAAAAAAAGGGAAAATCTCTTTCGTGATAGCCGGTTGAGTTAAATATCTTCAGAGGGTCGAATCTTAAAATTCATAAATAAATGAAGACTGCCTTCAATCACAATGGGCTCTTTCATTTTCAAAGAACAATTTTTACCAAATTCAATAGAAATGATCAAAACCCGATTCATTTTAAACATTTAGAAATCAATCTTTCTCATAATACTTAACTTTACATTGTAAGTCATTTATAATTTAAAATTCATTATTCGTAATCAAAATGGGTTCGAGAAGGAAATGCTTTCATGGCGATGAAGTCACACATGAATTGTGATATGTGTGCAGAACATTGAAAAATGTCATGGTTAATCAAATTAATCAAACCCAAAACTAGTGGATCCGGACACAGCTAAGGGGCACAGAGAAATGCAGCAGCTTTGCCAACTGGGCCACCTGTGCCCATCATAAAGAGACAAACAACTCGGCAGCATTCAGGTTTTAATGCAAGTCCAACAGACAAAACAATACTAACACTCTCATAACAAACCAGTAACATGTTGCCGTGGAAACAGCCATCCACTATCATTCAAGGAAGTATATTCACACTTCATCCCTCCTTAGAAAGCTGTAATTTGATTGGCCAGAACGTTATCTGACAGTCTTTGCAGTGAACTAAATGGTCTTACGTGAATCACTTCTAAATGCCTTTCAAATTAAGACTTAGTCCTTATCTGGATATTTTCAGATGTATATCATGTCCACCGTCTCAACCGTTCTGAAACATTCAACGCATATGGCACTGTATACAGGGCTGGGCTGGGAATGCTGGAGAATGAACTCGTGGAACTTTCCTATACCTCTGGAACACAACAAAGGACATCAAGATCGAAACACTTGCTGGGTTTTCAAACCTCCGACTGTCATCCAAAATGTCCTCATGATATTTTTCAAATTTTATCAAGATAAAGAAGAATGTCCCAAGTTGACATGTGATGAATATATCCCTCTGTGTTTTGTCTTGGGCAAAATCACTGCTTTCTGATTCACATGCTCAACACTGTTAACTAACACCATAAATAGAAGTCTGTGAGATCCCTAGTGCCTCTTCATAATGATTTATCAGTCATTGTTAATTTGTGGAAATAATGACTGTATTAGCATGTGTTTATGAATCACTATCCAATAGTGATGATACCAGGTGTTTATGAATTGTTATCCAATAGTGATGATACCAAGTGTTTATGAATCGCTATCCAATAGTGATGATACCAAGTGTTTATGAATCACTATCCAATAGTGATGATACCAGGTGTTTATAAATCGCTATCCAATAGTGATGATACCAGGTGTTTACAAAACAACTTGCTACCACTTGTACTTGGGTACAAACCATTCAACATTAAAGAAGATTGAGGTTAGATATGTCAGAAAAAGGTTCCCAAAAATAATTACTCTATAATTATCACAACACAGGAGTCGCCTCTAAATGTGGAATAAAATGACCCCAAAAAATATATTTTACCCTCAGATTTTGCTTCCCTTGTTTATATACCCATACACCTAAAAATCTATCACAGTGAGTAGCTCTCTCCATATCCCATCATTTTTCACCATTTCAACACAATCTGAAGAGATAAAACAACAAATACACACCCAAAACACAAATACATATATATATCCAAACTGTAAGTTCGCAAGGTCAACGGCTAATGAACATTAAACAAAACGTCCCGCCCACTGTAGCAGTTGTAGAGCCCACAATAAACATGTATAGCTAACAGGAAGTAAAGGTTATACAATAGGATGAAACTCAAGACTACCAGTTGGGAGTGTCACCGGTCTACATCAACAAATACAAGTGTTCAGAAATCATCTTGGTTACTGTGCCATTAAAATGGTGTACAAAGTTTTCCAAAATGCATTAGCATTTTCAGATGTCTACAAAGCAACTACTTCTGGTTGCCCTGGGATTCCCAGCTGTCTACAGGATAACAGTCATCTTCTTATTCTTGGATCGTAATGCTGGGAAATGATCACAAAAATGCTGGGACTTCAATGAAGATGTCATCTGTGAAGACCCAGGTTAGAAATGGTCTTGTGCAACCCATGCTTGTAAGAGGCGACTAATGGGATCGGGTGGTCAGGCTTGCTGACTTGGTTGATGCATGTCATCAATCCCAATTGCATTGATCGATGCTCATGATATCAATCACTGGATTGTCAGGTCCAGACTTGATTATTTACACACACCCGTCATATAGCTGGAATATTGCTGAGTGCGGCGTTAAACAACAAACCAACCAACCAACCACAAGTTCCATCAGGCCATAACTGCTAAAAAGAGCTGTGGACTGACTAGCTGGCAAACACTACCCGAGTCTACCTGTGATTATCTTACAATTCGTCATATACTGGACATGCAAAAGCACCTGTCATCTTGTTGTCAGAACACATTAACACCATCAACAAAGCCACGAACATGACCACCTGATCGTTTCAGCATAGGTTGCGGAAACCAATTTTACCAGGGTAACCCAAAATATCCATGGGCTTCTCAAAAATGGCAACAGCATACATGACAAAGATGTTTCCTATACATGTTTTGATAAATATTTCAGCAGTCCTTCCATATCAAAGATTGAATACACAAAATATAAAGTAAACAAAATTTAGAAATTATCCCCAAATACGGAAATCTTTAGTTATGTGTGAGTTAATCAATAAAATGGTTATGGTTCATAAATGCTATAAAATGATTTTGGAGCCATGTTGAAGATGGTTTCTCGGACAAAGAAACAAAATATAAGCTCTAGTTAACATTCTTGTGTATATTAAGATGGTGGAAACATTGAGATAGAAACATAAAGATTGTATATGAATGAAAAGATTGATAATTGACATGGTTTGTTCTGGTCATAATACCTCAGTAATACTTGTGTACATTGAGATGCTCACCCAAGATTTCTTTCAACTTTGTTTCATTATTTGTTCATATTATGCTTCACCAAATACGTAAATTCACAGTTTAATAAATAATTCCCCAAACCTATTTTTGAGCTTGCCAGACAATTTAAATGTCATTTACAAAGAGTAAAGGTATTCATACAAACAAGTAAATGCTATCAAAAGGTGCCAAGCTTCCAGACAAGTCATCCAAACTATCTTCACTCCCCACACAGCCCTCTGACACATGGCACAGGACAATAAATTGTCACATGCCAGAATAGTCAAGGGAAGCAACCCATAACCAGCAAATATCAGTGGTCTCCCCTTGCCTACTACTGTAGATGTTAAAGGATGCAAAATATATTCACTTGTATAAGCACAGATATTACCATACATGAAATATAATCTAATTGTCCACTTAGCTTACAAAAACAAATAATTTAACCCAGAGATGGCTTGTTAGCAGCAATCAACACCACTATTGTGCCATGTTTTTAAACAAGGGGAGATCACTCTAAGCTGGATGGATTGAAGCAGCTAATGTTGGGTGGTAAAGGCTGTGAAGACTTCATTTATCTGTTGTGTACAGCGTATAAATGTTGTCCTGCGACTCAACTCCTTCAGCTTGGATGCCCCGACATATGTGCAGGTGGACCGGATACCCCCAAGAATGTCCTGAATTGTAGCTTCGACCTCTCCACGGTACTCGATCTCAACTGTCTTCCCTTCAGAGGCCCTGGAATAACAACAACAATATTCACTTCACTGTTCAATTCTTTAGGAATCCTCTGAACACTTAAGTGCAGATTTATGATTAGAATTGAAGTACATATCAGTGTATTAAATTCATGAAGTCAATGGAGTTGACAAACATTAATTTGAATGATAGTGTTGACCTTATACTGTTTTGAATGAAAACGAAAATACTGAAACATATGAAATATACCAGGAGACCACTAGCACACATACCAAGACACATCCAGCACATATACAGGAGACTTCTAGCACACATACCAGGAGACTTCTAGCACATATACCAGGAGACTTCTAGCACATATACCAGGAGACTTCTAGCACATATACCAGGAGACTTCTAGCACATATACCATTAGAGATCTAGCATATATACCAGGAGACATCTAGCACATATACCAGGAGACCTCTTGCACATATACCATGACACATCTAGCACATATACCAGGAAACTTCTAGCACATATACCAGGAGACTTCTAGCACATATACCAAAAAACATCTAGCACATATACCAGGAGACCTCTTGCACATATACCAAGAGACCTCTAGCTCATGTACCATGACACATCTAGCACACATACCAAGACACATCTAGCACATATACCATGATGCATCTAGCACATATACCAAGAGACCTCTAGCACATATACCATGACACATCTAGCACATATACCATGACACATCTAGCACATATACCATGACGCATCTAGCACAAATACCATGAGACCTCTTGCACATATACCATGATGCATCTAGCACATATACCATGACGCATCTAGCACAAATACCATGAGACCTCTTGCACAAATACCATGACACATCTAGCACATATACCATGAGACATCTAGCACATATATCATGACACATGTAGCACATATACCATGACATATCTAGCAGATATACCATGACACATCTAGCACATATACCAAGAGACCTCTAGCACATATACCATGACACATCTAGCACATATACCATGACAAATCTAGCACATATACTGAAGACCTCTCTCACATATACCATAAACATCTAGCACATATACCATGAGACATCTAGCACATATACCATGACACATCTAGCACATATACCATGAGACCTCTAGCATATATACTGAAGAGTTTTAGTACATATACCACAGAGCTCCAGATAACTTTTTTAGCAACTGAGTTTTAACTCAAAGGTTTCTATTTTAATTGGGTTATTACATTTTTCATTGGGTGACCAATATTTTTTCATTCATCTATTCATCACTCTTTTGGGGTTTTCCCAAAATGAGCTAACATTTTGAGATTTAAAAAAAAATGAAATAATGTTTTAGATGTATATAAGGGTTCTGACTAAATCTTGACTCGGAAAGTAAATTAGCTCGTAATTGTGTTTTGGATATTAGCTCCATTGTACGCATGCTGTTAAAGCTTCATTGGGTATTTACGCATGCTGTTTTTATACATTTGAGTTTTTCACTTAACATACTTAATGCATGGGTTTCTTTACACAAGCGAATTGAAAGTAATTGGGTTTTGAATATTTTTGGGGGGTATTTTACGCAAATCGTTGCTTATCTGTAGCTCTGCACCATAAGACCTCTAGTATATTGGACCCTTTAGTGCATATACCATGAGACCTTTAGTGGATATACCTGGGACCCTTTAGTGCATATACCATGAGACCTTTAGTGGATATACCTGGACCCTTTAGTGCATATACCATGAGACCTTTAGTGGATATACCTGGGGCCCTTTAGTGCATATACCATGAGACCTTTAGTGCATATACCTGGACCCTTTAGCACATATACCAGGAGACTTCTAGCACATATACCAGGAGACTTCTAGCACATATACCATTAGAGATCTAGCATATATACCAGGAGACATCTAGCACATATACCAGGAGACCTCTTGCACATATACCATGACACATCTAGCACATATACCAGGAAACTTCTAGCACATATACCAGGAGACTTCTAGCACATATACCAAAAAACATCTAGCACATATACCAGGAGACCTCTTGCACATATACCAAGAGACCTCTAGCTCATGTACCATGACACATCTAGCACACATACCAAGACACATCTAGCACATATACCATGACGCATCTAGCACATATACCAAGAGACCTCTAGCACATATACCATGACACATCTAGCACATATACCATGACACATCTAGCACATATACCATGACGCATCTAGCACAAATACCATGAGACCTCTTGCACATATACCATGATGCATCTAGCACATATACCATGACGCATCTAGCACAAATACCATGAGACCTCTTGCACAAATACCATGACACATCTAGCACATATACCATGAGACATCTAGCACATATATCATGACACATGTAGCACATATACCATGACATATCTAGCAGATATACCATGACACATCTAGCACATATACCAAGAGACCTCTAGCACATATACCATGACACATCTAGCACATATACCATGACAAATCTAGCACATATACTGAAGACCTCTCTCACATATACCATAAACATCTAGCACATATACCATGAGACATCTAGCACATATACCATGACACATCTAGCACATATACCATGAGACCTCTAGCATATATACTGAAGAGTTTTAGTACATATACCACAGAGCTCCAGATAACTTTTTTAGCAACTGAGTTTTAACTCAAAGGTTTCTATTTTAATTGGGTTATTACATTTTTCATTGGGTGACCAATATTTTTTCATTCATCTATTCATCACTCTTTTGGGGTTTTCCCAAAATGAGCTAACATTTTGAGATTTAAAAAAAAATGAAAGAATGTTTTAGATGTATATAAGGGTTCTGACTAAATCTTGACTCGGAAAGTAAATTAGCTCGTAATTGTGTTTTGGATATTAGCTCCATTGTACGCATGCTGTTAAAGCTTCATTGGGTATTTACGCATGCTGTTTTTATACATTTGAGTTTTTCACTTAACATACTTAATGCATGGGTTTCTTTACACAAGCGAATTGAAAGTAATTGGGTTTTGAATATTTTTGGGGGGTATTTTACGCAAATCGTTGCTTATCTGTAGCTCTGCACCATAAGACCTCTAGTATATTGGACCCTTTAGTGCATATACCATGAGACCTTTAGTGGATATACCTGGGACCCTTTAGTGCATATACCATGAGACCTTTAGTGGATATACCTGGACCCTTTAGTGCATATACCATGAGACCTTTAGTGGATATACCTGGGGCCCTTTAGTGCATATACCATGAGACCTTTAGTGCATATACCTGGACCCTTTAGCACATATACCATGAGACCTTTAGTGGATATACCTGGACCCTTTAGAACATATACCATGAGACCTTTAGTGGATATACCTGAGCCCATTAGCACATATACCATGAGACCTTTAGTGGATATACCTGGACCCTTTAGTGCATATACCATGAGACCTTTAGTGGATATACCTGAGCCCATTAGCACATATACCATGAGACCTTTAGTGGATATACCTGGGGCCCTTTAGTGCATATACCATGAGACCTTTAGTGGATATATCTGGAGCCCTTAAGTGCATATACCATGAGACCTTTAGTGGATATACCAGGACCCTTTAGCACATATACCATGAGACCTTTAGTGGATATACCTGGAGCCCTTAAGTGCATATACCATGAGACCTTTAGTGGATATACCTGAGCCCATAAGTGCATATACCATGGCCTTTAGTGGATATACCTGGACCCTTTAGCACATATACCATGAGACCTTTAGTGGATATACCTGGAGCCCTTAAGTGCATATACCATGAGACCTTTAGTGGATATACCTGGAGCCCTTAAGTGCATATACCATGAGACCTTTAGTGGATATACCTGAGCCCATAAGTGCATATACCATGGCATTTAGTGGATATACTTGGACCCTTTAGTGCACATACCATGGCCTTTAGTGGATATATCTGGACCCTTTAGTGCATATACCATGAGACCTTTAGTGGATATATCTGGACCCTTTAGTGAATATACCATGAGACCTTTAGTGGATATACCTGGAGCCCTTAAGTGCATATACCATGGCCTTTAGTGGATATACCTGGAGCCCTTAAGTGCATATACCATGAGACCTTTAGTGGATATACCTGAGCCCATAAGTGCATATACCATGGCATTTAGTGGATATACTTGGACCCTTTAGTGCACATACCATGGCCTTTAGTGGATATATCTGGACCCTTTAGTGCATATACCATGAGACCTTTAGTGGATATATCTGGACCCTTTAGTGAATATACCATGAGACCTTTAGTGGATATACCTGGAGCCCTTAAGTGCATATACCATGGCCTTTAGTGGATATACCTGAGCCCATTAGCACATATACCAGGAGACCTTTAGTGGATATACCTGAGCCCATTAGCACATATACCATGAGACCTTTAGTGGATATACCTGGGGCCCTTTAGTGCATATACCATGAGACCTCTAGTGGATATATCTGGAGCAGTTTAGTATATATACCATGACCTTTAGTGGATATACCTGGAGCCCTTAAGTGCATATACCATGACCTTTAGTAGATATATCTGGAGCCCTTTAGCACATATACCATGACCTTTAGTGGATATACCTTGAGCCCTTTAGCACATATACCATGACCTTTAGTGGATATACCTTGAGCCCTTTAGCACATATACCAGGAGACTCTATTGGCATATACCTCAAGCCCTCTAGCACATATACCTGGAGCCCCTTAGTGCCTATACCCATGGAGAGAACATGGAGAGACCTACCTGTACTCAGCGACCCCTCCAGAATGTTTCTTCATCGCAGTGGCTGAGCTCATCCCATAGAACAGTTTAATCTTCTTGCCATTCTTCTCGATCATTTCCCCTCCCGACTCGTTGTGTCCAGCCAGCATGCCCCCCAACATCACGTAGTCCGCACCTGCTCCGAACGCCTTCGCCACATCACCAGGACACGTGCAGCCCCCATCCTGTGGAGAAGAGGGGAGAGACGCACTGATCATCAACCAGGTGCATGTCTTTATGTCGTCGTTCAACCATGGCAAGAATTATACTTATAAAGGAACAAGTTAATCGACCAAAAAGGAATAGAACACAGGATATTTCTGTTTTCCTTTCAAGTAAAACAATTCAAATAAGAATTGAAAAAACTTACAGGATGTGCCTCTAGCTACTCTAAAAGATCTATTCTAACAAAATTGGGGTTGGAACCTATTGTCAATCATTCATATTAGGGTTTCTAGTCTTTAGATGTCTCGTGGGATGGTCGAGTAGCCTAGTGGTTTAAGCGTTCGCTCGTCACGCCGAAGACCCGGGTTCGATTCCCGACATGGGTACAATGTGTGAAGCCCATTTCTGGTGTCCCCCGCCGTGATATTGCTGGAATATTGCTAAAAGCGGCGTAAAACCATACTCACTCACTTTAGATGTCTCAGGCATATTCTCAAGTACTTGGTTGAAATCAACAAAAAACATGTACAGCAAATCCAGAAGGTACCATTTCGACTAAACTTGTCCCGGTTAACAAGTTTCCAGATGAACTTGTGGTACCTAGTAAGATCCAGCAGCTAATACTTAAGACTCAGTAGTAATTGTCGGGGATCCTGGGCTGACATGGGATGGACTTATGAGGATTTCACAAACATCACTGCATTGGAAAAGAAAGACATAAGCTAAATATCTTAAATCCAATATAAAAAAAAGAATAAACCCAGAGAAGCCTGTCTTGTTACTCACCGATATGATATGTCCCCCGAGGCCATGGGCGGCGTCGGCACATTCCATGACGGCACTGAGCTGTGGGTAGCCGACGCCAGTCTTCTTCCTGGTGGTGCACACGGAGCCGGGGCCAATCCCGACCTTGATGATGTCTGCCCCCGACAGGATCAGCTCCTCCACCATCTCCCCCGTCACCACGTTACCTGCCTGCAACAACAGACTCACATTACCTGGCTGTAATAACACTGACTCACATTACCTGACTGTATTAACACTGACTCACATTACCTGACTGTAATAACAGACTCACGTTACCTGGCTGTTATAACAGACTCACATTACCTGGCTGTAATAACAGACTCACATTACCTGGCTGTAATAACAAACTCACGTTACCTGCCTGTAACAACACCGACTCACATTAACTGCCCGTAACAACAAAGACTCACGTTAACTGCCTACAAGAACATGGACTCACATTAACTGCCTGTAACAACAAAGACTCACGTTACCTGCCTACAAGAACATGGACTCACATTAACTGCCTGTAACAACATGGACTCACATTACCTGCCTGTAACAACATGGACTCACATTACCTGCCTGTAACAACAAAGACTCACATTACCTGCCTGTAACAACATAGACTCACATTACCTGCCTGTAACAACATAGACTCACATTACCTGCCTGTAACAACATAGACTCACGTTACCTGCCTGTAACAACAAAGACTCACGTTACCTGCCTGTAACAACATAGACTCACATTACCTGCCTGTAACAACATAGACTCACGTTACCTGCCTGTAACAACAAAGACTCACATTACCTGCCTGTAACAACAAAGACTCACGTTAACTGCCTACAAGAACATGGACTCACATCACCTGCCTGCAACAACACTGACTCACATTACCTGGCTGTAACAACACTGACTCACATTACCTGCCTGTAACAACGCTGACTCACATTACCTGCCTGTAACAACATGGACTCACATTACTTGCCTGTAACAACAAAGACTCACATTACCTGCCTGTAACAACACTGACTCACGTTACCTGCCTGTCACAACACTGACTCACATTACCTGCCTGTAACAACAAAGACTCACATTACCTGCCTGTAACATCACTGACTCACGTTACCTGCCTGTCATAAGTTTGGATGACCTTCGAAATGTCCTTGTACATCTTTTTAATGACCATCCCAGAAAAGATATGCAAAATCATATTTATCATAAAATGTCCACTTTTTACACGACCCTCCCTAAAAATAGGCATTATTTTTTATGACCCTCCCCTTGAGACTGACATTTGTGGTGACCCTCCCCTGATTCAACTAAACCCTATTATGAATGACCAGTCCTCAAATAATACATGCCAAGCAAACCTGCATCCCGTACATTGGTGCAAAGTGCTGGGTGAACAGTCTCATCTTTGTTACCAAACTCATGAATGAAAACCCCCACCCGCCCTACATAAAATGAGCAGAGTGTAATTAATAGTGAGTGAGTGAGTTTGATTTTACGCTGCTTTTAGCAATATTCCAGCAATATCATGGCGGGGGACACCAGAAATGGGCTTCACACATTGTACCCATGTAGGGAATCGAACCCGGGTCTTCGGCGTGACGAGCGAACGCTTTAACCACTGGGCTACCCGACCGCCCCTGTAATTAAGACTTCCAAAAGTTCTCACTTCTAACCCAACATTAGACATTGGCACTAGTCCAAAAGTCTTTGCCAAACTGCCCAAAAGTTAAGGTATCATAAGGACTAGCAGAAATTTGTCCTTTATGTTATCATCAGTGGACTAAAAATGTTAGTTTCTACTGCTACTTACCATGATTGTCTTTTTGGGAAACTTCTTGCGGACATCCCTGACGAACTGCACAAAGTGTTCCGAGTAACCGTTAGCAACATCCAGACAGATGAACTTGATCTGTGGTGCCAGTTCCAGAATGTCACTTAGTTTCTGCATGTCCCCCTCAGCAATACCGGCGCTCACGGCAATGTGCTGCAGACAAACAAACTGCCGACTTGACAATCTTGGCACATCTCAGAGGTCCTTTATGAACCTTGTGTTACTTTCATAAACCTATACCTTTCAAGTCATACACATATCACACTCTACAGAATAATACTTGATACTTAATATTTTCACATCACGTGAGAAATACTTCACTTTGTCTGAAACATGAAACATGAGCTGAGACCTGTCTACAGACACTGTGGGACAGGGGTCAATTTAGCTACTGGCCCGTTGGCCCGGGGGCAGTTAAAAAGACAAAAGGCTTTCTGAAATATAAAGTAGATGGCCGTCTGGCTAGTCAAATTTCACCTCTTCTCTGTGTATGTTTATTTTTTCTAATTGGACACTGCTAACGATTCATGTAATTTTGATGAGAAAATATTTCAAAGGGGGGTTGAGGTTGTGTGAATGGTTAACTCATAGATCATCTCGGTAGGTTGACCCAACCGGCCGACATTTTGTAATGCTCTGTAAAACTACATCTTTATTTGCTAAAAAAAATCACAATGAGGCAAATGGAAGCTAAGATTTAGTCTCAGAGTGAGTGAGTGAGGATGGTTTTACGCCACTTTTAGCAATATTCCAGCAATATCATGGCGGGGCACACCAGAAATGGGCTTCACACATTGTACCCATGTTGGGAATAGAACCCGGGTCTTCGGCGTGACGAGTGAACGCTTTAACCACTAGGCTACCTGACCGCCCCTTTAATCTCACAGTGCAGGACATGACATTTTAGGGGTGAGAAGTTAAAAAAAATTCGGATCCCTCTGGGTAACGCAGTCGTAGACAAACATTTAGTTTTTGGCCAGTTAGTTTGGAGAAGGGCCAGTTACTTTTGAAAGCAGCAAGCCCTGCTGGCTCCTTACAAATTTGTGGGATATCACTGACCTCAAGTGTTTCGGTGTTGTTGTCCACAAACTCCTTCCAGGCTGCAGGCGAGTAGTGTTTGTGGATGGTAGTGAACATCTTGTGCTGGAACACAACAAATTAGTGTTGACCAGGGCAGCACTTCCGGACTGGTGGGCCACCCTGGACTCAGAGGTCACAGCCATCGGGTATCTACTCCCGGTATCATTCAAACTTGATAGTCTTCATTTAGTAATCAACATATTTTACTCCCTTGGGTTGACTGTTAGGTGAGGTGAGGTGAAATTGGGTTTAACGTCGCGTCCAAGATTATTGCACTTATATAGCGACGTGCATGCACGTGTATGTGTGTGTGTAGCTGCTTGTACTAGTCCGGACTGATGCCGATTTATAGTGCTAGCTCACTGAGATACCATGCTGCAGTTTAACATGAATACCCCACTCAGACACAGTATACTGACTCCGAGCTGACCAGTCCTTGTTTTAGCCCCTTAATGTCGAGCGCCAGACAGGGTAACAACAAGTACCATCTTTTAACGTCTTTTTGTATGACGCGGCCGGGGATCGAACCCCGGACCTTCCGCTCTCCGGGCGGATGCTCTACCACTAGACCACGGAGGCGGTCGTTGACTGTTAGGGAAATCATGAGTAGACATTTAGAGCATGTGTTGACAGAGAAACACATTGAGGATATGCAGTAGTCTTTCCACTTTTCATTTTTTGTGGTTCGATGGTCAGCAAGTTTTATTGAAGTGAGTGAGTGAATATGGTTTTACGCCGCTTTTAGCAATATTCCAGCAATATCATGGCGGGGGACACCAGAAATGGGCTTCATACATTGTACCCACGTCGGGAATCAAACCCGGGTCTTCGGCGTGACGAGCGAATGCTTTAACCACTAGGCTACCCGACTGTCCCAAGTTTTATCGGAATTAACAACAGTCCAAATATTACCTTTGCAAATGCCTTGGCAAGTTTTATCGAAGTGAGTGAGTGAATATGGTTTTACGCCGCTTTTAGCAATATTCCAGCAATATCATGGCGGGGGACACAAGAAATGGGCTTCATATATTGTACCCACGTCGGGAATCAAACCCGGGCCTTCGGCGTGACGAGCGAATGCTTTAACCACTAGGCTACCCGACTGTCCCAAGTTTTATCGGAATTAACAACAGTCCAAATATTACCTTTGCAAATGCCTTGGCAAGTTTTATCGAAGTGAGTGAGTGAATATGGTTTTACGCCGCTTTTAGCAATATTCCAGCAATATCATGGCGGGGGACACAAGAAATGGGCTTCATACATTGTACCCACGTCGGGAATCGAACCCGGGTCTTCAGCGTGACGAGCGAATGCTTTAACCACTAGGCTACCCGACCGCCCCAAGTTTTATCGGAATTGTGTACAGTCCAAATATTACCTTTGCAAATGCCTTGGCCATCTCGAAGGTGCCAACTGTGTCCATGTTGGCTGCCATGACAGGAATTCCGGTGTATGTGAGGCCGGAGTTGCGGAAGATGAACGACCTTGTGAGGTCAACCTGTAACCATGGTAACACAACATAGGTCAATGAGAGATCTAGTGGTTGACGGTGCGAGAACCCTACCATCTGTGTAACATATAGCCAGGTGAGTGAGTTAGTGAGTGAGTGAGTATGATTCTATGCCGCTTTTAGCAATATTCCAGCAATATCATGGTGGGGAACACAAGAAATGGGCTTCACACATTGTACCCCTGTGGGGGATCGAACCCAGACCTTCGGCATGGCTAGCAAATGCTTTAACTACTAGGCTACCCCACCGTCCCCAGGCCTACAGCAAACATCATTAAAAATTAACAAATCAGAATAAAAAAGTCACAAATTCATCATGTTCATGTTAATATATATAATAGGGATGTCACGGTTCACCAATATATCAATGCATCTATAATATTCTCGGGCGAGGAGATACTCAATCACACATACCTGTTGAAACACTTCAAACAGCAATGGAAAGACTTTGATGGCAAATGGTTCTGACCTACATTTTAGTGAACGATGTTGTCATTTCTAGTTAATGCTAAATGATTTTTTCCCCAGTTTGCCTGTCAGGGGCACTTTGATCAGAATCCGAGATAAATTCCTGCACGCATGCTTATCTAACATTGTGACCCCCTCGTACAGAAATCTTTTATTTATCAACAAACATAATTACAGATTGCCTTGCCCCAGTGCAAAAATGTTGCAAGTCACTTGTCTAGACTCAAGATTTACAAGTCCCGTGAAGCTGGAATATTGCTGAGTGCAGCGTTAAACAAAATAACAAAACAATTCCACGATTTACAAAACTAATTAACTGTGGACAGACAATCTGTAATTCATTGTAGTGTGTGGGTTATTGTCCAACTGCATAATGGATTGACCAGAGCTCCAGATAAGCTTTTGGTGTTGTGGGTATTTTACCCTTCCATTTTAAAATCATTGGGTATCAGTAATTCCATATGGGTATTCAAATTTCTGTTACCCACTAGTTTTTACACATGTGGGTATTTAAGTTAAATATTTAAAAACACTATTCATCTAGTCCCTACAAACTGGTGTTGTGTGGGTTCGAGAGCTTTATAGGACTCAAAAATACCACGATACTTCCACAAGAAAGTGTGATGGCAAATGATCATGATGTAACTGTCATCGTGGAGTTTGGCAAGGTTGACGGAATGCCCGTTTATAATTTCAAAATAACTTGCTGATTTGCTAATCGAATACGCAGTATTACTTCACAATATTTTGATGATACCCACAAGTTTTGTTTTTGTAGCGTATCTGTAACGTTCGTTGCGTATTTGATACGCTTGGATTTTATTTTACTGCGTATTTCTGCATTTCTGATGCGTATTTTACGCAGATACGCAGCTTATCTGGAGCTCTGATTGACACATTCACACAATGTGGTATTTACACAATGTTCTCATTGTTTAATGTTCATTTACTTCAAGTTCCACTATTGTGGAGTGAGTGAGTGAGTGAGTGAGTGAGAGAGGGTACATTATTCTCTAAATGTACAAGTTAAACCCATGTTCTCACTGTGAAGGGTTCACATAATCCATGATACAGTCAAGGACTACAAGCATCTCCAAGTTCATTTCTAACACTGCTTGATGACGATTGGGCAATTGGACACCCCACATTTCACTCTCTGTTTATAGCGATCTTTTTGATATCACCATGATATCTTTTGTACATGTTTACTATGTTACACACCGTTACACAAATATAACTGAATATTTCAATTTCATATTCACATCTTTGTCTTTCATGGAATTGGAAATAATGGAAATAGAATTAGTGCATCTTTGAGAAGTAAAACTTCTTGTTTCTGGCTGGTTTCAAAAACAAAACCACATTATCTTGTCAGACATGTTTGTACTGTTAACTTATCATTGTATGAAAAGAGCTTCCCATATATCATGTATATATAATTAGAAACACGACACCAACAATCAATAATAAATTTACATTAATTAATTTCCTGTTCAAGCCATGTGCTGCACATGGCCTAGTGTGTTTGTGTCATCCCAGCTGGTGGCCAGTGTCAGACAGGAGTCTCCAGTAGATGTAGGAAGGCTGCAGTTTAACCACATGTCTGGTGTAATATATCTGGGACTACAGCAAGTGTCAGACAGGAGTCTCCAGTAGATGTAGGAAGGCTGCAGTTTAACCACGTCTGGTGTAATATATCTGGGACTACAGCAAGTGTCAGACAGGAGTCTCCAGTAGATGTAGGAAGGCTGCAGTTTAACCACATGTCTGGTGTTATATATCTGGGACTTCAGCAAGTGTCAGATAGGAGTCTCCAGTAGATGTAGGAAGGCTGCAGCTTTAACCACATGTCTGGTGTAATATATCTGGGACTTCAGCCAATGTCAGATAGGAGTCTCCAGTAGATGTAGGAAGCCTGCAGTTTAACCACATGTCTAGTGTAATATATCTGGGACTACAGCCAGTGTCAGACAGGAGTCTCCAGTAGACGTAGGAAGCCTGCAGTTTAACCACATGTCTGGTGTAATATATCTGGGACTTCAGCAAGTGTCCGAAATAACTGCCTGCCTGCTGGCAGCTGGTAACTTTTTTGTCGGGCCCCATGACAATCTCTTCCACCTGCCCAATTGTCTGGCAGATAATCTTAAGACTACTTACGTATTCCGTTTGATCATAACTCCTCCTTGTTTAGATTACTTCAACAGAGGCAAATTGGCAATTGTTTCTCGCAATTTTTAAAAATTTAAAATGTCTGAATGCGGGAAGGTAACCTTGAAGATAGGCAGGCAACATTTATGGGTCACCTGCCTGACTGTGTTGTTGGGTTTTAAAATTATTTCAAGCACTGACTTCAGCCACTTGTCCATAGTCTGAGTCGAGTAAAACGTCTTTCAGTCGAGTAAGGTTTGCTGAAGACCATACATTGAGACTATTATCTACCGACAATGATGTCAAGAGACAGATGCAGCTGGTAGACTTGGGCTAGTTTCAACACAGACTGATATATTGACAGTCAAAATATACTTATTTCCACTACAACGTACAAGGCAATCTCCATTTTCATGATACCACTATCAACTGCACAATATCAAGTGATATCTGATTCTGAATAATTTAGTCAAATTATCCTATAAGCCACAAACCACTTTCAGTGTTTCAATATTTTGTTAATTAGACACAATTTCAGCTACCATCATGTCCTATTGGTTATGATGGTGGTGTTGTTTAGTTGTAGGTCATACATAACATGGTACTTGAAAAAGCTGAGAAAATATGCAGCTATTATGTGTCTGTGAGAGAGTGAGTTGGGCTTAACAGTATTTCAATTATATCATGGCGTGTCAGCTTCATGTGGGAGGAAAGCCTGAAGTGATGTGGTCTCAGACATTTACCACTTTTGTAAAACCCATGAGCAAGGGTATGGTGACAAACCTAGAATTTATTGAGAACTCATTTACTGGGCTAATTGCAAACATACTACACTAGGTCTTTCGATCTGGACCCAGTTGAATGAAACTAAAAGGATGCTTTATCATGTCATTAAACCTTCATTATATAATCTAGTCATACATTGTAGAAACCTGCTTAGAATTCTGAGTGGTCTCCCAGCGGTAATCAAATGGAAGTTAGACTATGATTTTGCTGACTGCTGCATTGATTACTGCCAAAAATATTTATTCAGAAGCACTTCTTTGCAAATCACTTGTTTCCCAATTTCAAATACTGATCCTTTTTTCATTAACATTGCTAAATAACATGCTGAGGTTCCAACATTATATACAGCAAGAGAGGCGAAAATCTTGATGAACAAATACGAAGGTATTGTAAAATTCAGAAACATCAACACACAGAACATTTGTTGCTACTCTGTGACAAACTGTAGCATCATGTCTACTGTGTCACAATGCTTGGACTTCCCATCTGTAGAACTTAAGTCAAAATAGTGGTGAGTACATTAGAAACATTGCTTCGTTTTGTCTAGGGATGTCATTTTGAAAACAAAAACGAATACAGGATATCTGCCTGCTTGACTTTATTATATCTCACTGAAGTGGAACAAGTATTAAGGTGAAATTTATGATTTTGGTAAATAAAGCAAAATATATGCAGATTACAACCAGTCTTCACTACTGATCCCTGAACATTCCTGAACGATCCTGAATGCGCCCGTTAAACATGTTAAACCTACTGAAAATATTAATTATGCTCAATCAATTCCACATCACCAATCACATAACGAAACAGTTTGCATTTGTTTGGTCATTACAGTGTCATTGTGTTTTGAACGTAGTATTAGAAAATATTGCAGGTATTGTTTCAATTTATATTGAACTAAATATATATAACTAAAACAATTTTCATATTTTATCATGACTTTCTACATGTTCTAGGTACTGTTGTTCGTCTTAGGGCCAGAGGAATGAGCTATTCTTGTCTGTCTGACAGTGATTAGGCTAACATTGAGCTCTACATCTTGGGTTATTTGCAACCACATTAGAATAGAAGGCTTTAGGTGTCATAGACTTCGTAAGCTTTCATAAAGAATCGAGATTTTAGTTTTCACCACAGGACTGCAAGGATATGTAAGTAAATTAATAACTAAGCAAAAAATGATGACACGGAAGGGCATAATATTGAGAAGTGACGATGAAACCTGCAAGCCCGATTCTCCATGACGAGACATGTACTGATATAATTAGCCTCATGTCACAAGAGTAGATCTGAAACTTACATCTGCGCGGCTCCTGATTGTGCTGCGCTTTGGACGCACTAGGACATCCTTGAAATCCAACTTGATATCATTGTCGATTCTCGGCATGTTGGAAAACGCTTGATCTGCTACTGGCTACTCTCTCCGGTCACTGACAAAGTCACTTGTTAGAGCGCGATCTCGCGTGGTCTATTAATTCTTCCTCTGCAAATTATTATATTCGTGCCATCTTACTGGACTCCTAACCTTGTCTTCCTGCTGTAATCCAATAGTATAAGCACTGTATGGATCTCTGGTGGCACTCCTCACAGCGATACCGAATCCCCTTCTACAAATCGGAGTATATCGATGTCGTCACGCGTTGGGATGGAGCTTGTAGACACGGGTTAACTTGCACCGAAATAGGGAATGGTGTGGGATTTCATTTTCAAAGGCAGATGATTTGCATGACATAATTATGATATTGTGTAACTTGATATAAAATTTTGCAAGATGTAATGTGATCTTTCTTTGGATTACTTTTTGAGATTGCTTATTGGATATATTTGGAAAACAGTCATTTTGTTGCAGTGAAAATGCCACATTTACCAACTGATATCGTCGGATCATATGTCTTCGGACGGCTATTTTTATCGCGAGTACTCCCGCTATAACGAGGATCGTGGCGTCAAATAGACATTGTAAATACTCAGATGATGGCTTGATGTTGAGATAAAGTTGTCTGTTATAATTAAGTCAGATGTTTTACGGTTGTTCTTGTGATTAGCGGAAAACAATGAATGTTTCTTAGCGTCCGAAAACCCATAACACGGGGTTATGTCAAATGTGTCCTAATTAAAACAGAGACCATATAGATCTACCGGTATATGGTCTCTGATTAAAATAACCTTTTTGATGTTTCTCCACATTTTAAGACATAATGTATTTAATAACTCTTCTTACACAATGGTGTTATGAATCACGAGTTGATATATCTAGCCTGTATATCCCCGTGTTATGGGTTTTCGGACGCTTAACCACATTCATATTTTTCTTTCTATTCACATGAACAACTGTTAAACATCTCATTCATTTTTAAAAGACAACTTTCTCTTAAAAACAAGCTATCATCTGAGTATTTACAATGTCTGTGTGATGCTACTCCCCCTTTATTGCACGAATAATCGTGATAAACATGGCTGTCTGAAAACGTATAATGTCCGAAGATCTATGAGCCGAAGATATATCGATATATCCGACGATATAGGTAATGCTTAAGTGACCAACTGCTCAACCTTTTCTAAGGACTAAACTAGTCAATATATAGTATTATCCCAATGTTATAGATTTTCGTCTGAGTATTTACAATGTCTGTTTGACGCCATATCCCTTGTTATGGATTGAGTAACCGCCATATGAAAACATATGATGTCCGAAAACCTATGATCTAACAATATATTGTTTGTTGAGTTATCTTTCACAATTTGGTGTGCTTCAGTCCTGAGTCTTACTGATAACTGACTTGGACTATGAGGTCCTCTTTTCCTTAGCATTGAAAATACACAAAACTGAGTATAGAGCAGTTCTTTAAGTGTCGCTTAGCAGTTGGTATTATGTAAATGGGAGAGAGTTCTATGAACATTGTTATCAAGCATGTGATGTGTTGTTTGATAACGGTGGTAGTATCTACACTGAAACATCACATTCATTGTACTAAAGAAGATGTATATCCATAGAACTCTCTCCCTTGTTGAGTTTTGAGCAGTCATTAAATATTTTACCCTTGAAGGTCAGTCACCAGAATACTGGTTGGTTGGTTTGTTTGTTGTTTAACGCCGCACTCAGCAATATTCCAGCTATATGACGGCAGTCTGTAAATAATTGAATCTGGACCAGACAATCCAGTGATTGACATCATGAGCATCGATCCACGCAATTGGGATCGATGACATGCATCAACCAAGTCAGCGAGCCTGACCACCCGATCCCGTTAGTCGCCTTTTACGGCAAGCATGGGTTGCTGAAGACCTATTCTAACCTGGATCTTCACGGGTCCCAGAATATTGGGGAACTATTGCAATCTAAATGAAACGTTTGTGAAGGATTACAGGTAATGTCTAGAAGGTGACATCCACTCTGGTTGCCCCACCACCAGTAACACACAAGAAAACATTAATGCCATTCCATCCACAACCTGGCACTGAACGATAGGTGCATTTCACTCTTTGTTGTTTGTTGTTTAACGCCACACTCAGCAATATTACACCTATATGGCGGCAATCTGTAAATAATTGAGTCTGGACCAGACAATCCAGTGATTGACATGAACATCAACCCACGCAATTGGGATCGATGACATGCATCAACCAAGTCAGCGAGCATGACCACCCAAACCCGTTAGTTGCCTCTTACGACAAGCAGTCACCTTTTCGGCATTACACTCAATGAGTTAGAGGTGAGTTGAAGTGAAATGGGGCTTAACGCCGCGTCCAAGATTATTGCAGTTCTATAGTGACGTGCATGCATGTGTGTGTGTGTGCATGCTTGTACTAGTCTGGAATGATGCCGATTTATAGTGCTAGCCCACTGAGACACCATGCTGCAGTTTATCATGAATACCCCACTCAGACACAGTATACTGACTCCGATACAGTCCTTGTTTTAGCCCCTTAATGCCGAGCCCCAGACAGGGTAACAACAAATGCCATCTTTTAACGTCTTTTGGTATGACACAGCCGGAGATTGAACCCTGGACCTTCAGCTGTCTGCGTGGACGCTCTACCACTAGACCACAGAGGCGGTCCAAGGAGTTGATGGAGACCACAGGACTCTTGTGTGGGTCAATAGAAACAATCCTTCATGAACATCTACATGTGTTAATTATTTTTGCCCAATGGGTTCCTGGAATGCTATCGGATGAAGTAAGGCTCCACCACCTCTAATGCCCTGTAAGAAATGTTCATTTTAGCAGGGTATGAAACTCCCAAAAATTTCAGCCAGACCACAGGACTGGCTAGCTGAAATACTTGCCAGCCCTGACCAAAACCTGCCTGCCCACTATAATCATATGTTTCTCAGGATAAGCTAACGGGGTTTCTTTTTGGTTACATTTTATCATTCATCTTTACATGTGAATTAATGCTTATCATCGGGAAATATTTTGAATATTTTCACATATGAAATATAACCCGACCGTCGGGCAGGGGGATTTGAAAATCTGGCAACCCGAGTTGAAATCAACCCGTCACGGACGGTCGGGCAGGCAGGTATTTCGAACACTGATTTTAGGCTAGTGACGAGTGATGAGACCTGGATCCAGCACTAACGGGATTGGGTGGTCAGACTCGCTGACTTGGTTGATGCATGTCATCGATCCCAAGTGTGTGGATCGATGCTCATGATGTCAATCACTGGATTGTCTGGTCCAGACTCGATTATATACAGGCTGCCATCATATAGCTGGAATGTTGCCGAGTGTGGCGTTAAACAACAAACAAACAAACACTATGAACCTGGCAGCAAACAAAATCCATTGAGTGGAAACACTTCAGGTCTCCCCTAACCAACAGTCACCAATTCCAATTGTGTGGATTGATGCTCATGATGTTAATCACTAGATTGTCTGGTCCAGACTTGATTATTTACAGACCGCCGTCAAGTAGCTGGAACATTGCTGAGTGCGGCGATAAACAACAAACCAACCAACGGATCAATTGAGAAAGTTATGCCCCCCTTCTTTGGGGACAGTCATGGCATAATACACATTGATTACTTACCACAGGGAACAACCGTGAAAGGTGAATAGTATGCTAAACTATTAAACAGACCTATCAGAGAGGCGTTGCGGAAGACTTGGCTGTGGAGTTCTCCATCAGGACAATGCTCCAGTTCACACCAGTCATGTTGCAATGGCTGCTGTAAGGAGATTCTACATATCTACCTTGTTCCCCAGTGCCATTGTACTACGGATCTTAGCGCTAAGGTGATCGTAACTCCCATACCATAACATAGACTTACGACTGTCATATGGCTAAGGTTGTTCTGTACAACGGCACCCTGATCCCTAGTGACGATATTGTAAAGAAAAAAAGAAGAGACAATATGTAGATTTCTCATAAAGTTGTATTCACGATCAAACAGACTATATATATATCCTGTACATGTTGCATGTCCTGGTCATAACAGACATGCAACTATTTACAGACCACTGTACACATGGTGCTGGCCAAATGGTCGGTAGCAGTTACTTCACAAATGTACATGGTAGCGAGAAAATAAAGTGAAATCACCTGCCACTTCTCAAACTCACGTCCTGGACTTACACGTCCTATTCTAGTAACCGCGTCCACTGTCTGTCTGACATTTGTCACTGTGGTCACAAATTTCAAGAAACAAGAAACATTGTACATCATATCACTGACACAAGTACTCCCATGAATCGATACCAGGATGGAATGCGACATCCATAGTATTTTAGGGTTTAAGGTGAGATTTTTCAAATTAATACTGATTTACACATTCCTCACTCTAAAATAAGGAATAATAAAATAGTGAAAAAAATCAAATCTGAAAATCATTTGTTTTATTGCTCCAGTTGGAAACTTGCACGTTCAACACACAATCACTGTGCAAGCACTTGGCTAAACTGCAAAACCCAACAGGAAACGGATAACACGGCTCCAAAGGAATCATATTCAGATAGCATTTTGAAGAACAAAATCCAAAACCCTTTGATCTAGGTTTATCCTCCTTCCTCCTTTCATCACAAAATCTGTAAACCTGGCAATGAAAAAGTCTGTCCTAATGAGGTTAAACAAGCAACCCAACTGTTAGGGCTGTGACGACTTTCCGAACCGGGTACCCGACTCCCTACTACCCGTCCCAACAAGGGGCCCCACAATACACCGGCCTGCACATTGGGTTACTGTACTCACATTCCGATTCTAAATATATGCCCTAATTTTTAGTGTATAATGTGCATGTTTTTTCCCCAAGAAAATACAGCTGTGTAGGCGAGGGGTTTAACAAATGATTTTTCATACTGTTACAGCCATTAAGCAATATATCATGTGGCTAACCACAGGTCCGGGTAGTCCTATGGGTACCCGGGTCCGACTCAGGATCCACCCAACCTGGATACCCGAGTTACCCGTCCCAGCCCTAGTAACCGTTACATCATATTTCAAGGATGTAAGTGGAACCGTACATGTAATATACACACTGGACATTGCTTCCAGTTAGCAATACAGTAAGTACCCTGTGTCTTACATGTCAACATTTTGATTTTGAAAGTTTTCAGTACAACCAACTAAGCAATACAAACCAGCAGTAATGCCCTTCCTCAGACAGCAATGCCCTTCCTCAGACAGCAATGCCCTTAGACAGCTATGCCCTTCCTCAGACAGCAATGCCCTTAGACAGCTATGCCTTTCCTCAGACAGCAATGCCCTTAGACAGCTATGCCCGTCCTCAGACAGCAATGCCCTTCCTCAGACAGCAATGCCCTTAGACAGCTATGCCCTTCCTCAGACAGCAATGCCCTTAGACAGCTATGCCCTTCCTCAGACAGCAATGCCCTTAGACAGCTATGCCTTTCCTCAGACAGCTATGCCCGTCCTCAGACAGCAATGCCCTTCCTCAGACAGCAATGCCCTTAGACAGCAATGCCCTTCCTCAGACAGCAATGCCCTTCCTCAGACAGCTATGCCCTTCCTCAGACAGCAATGCCCTTAGACAGCAATGCCCTTCCTCAGACAGCAATGCCCTTCCTCAGACAGCAATGCCCTTCCTCAGACAGCAATGCCCTTCCTCAGATAGCAATGCCCTTAGACTGCAATAGCTATTGGAATATTTCCAAGTCAAATCAGTTTAGGAAATGTTTTTGAAAATGCAGCAATCCCTGAGATCAACTAATGAAAATTTACACTAGAGAAAAGCTATATGTTCCAGATAAAGTTGCCATTCCTGCTGACATGTCTTTGAACAGCATATTGACTGTTCCCATGATCCCCCAAACAATATAATCTCTGTTGGTAACTATGGCGATGGACATACAATATCAGCTTTATTTAAAGTCAACAAATAACAAACATTACTACTACCGACACCTTTGCATAGCAACTCCACAACAAATCTATGTGTACATTGCAAGAATATGCCACATACAGGGCTGAGGCAAACTCTTATTAGTGAAATTCACTGAGGTTTCTCACAACCAAGCTTATAAGGGACTGAATAAAAGTCAATGGACCACAGAGTCAAACTATTCAAAATGTTAAGCAAGGAATGAAATCTAGAACTCCAGGTCATGCTATGTTAGGTTATCGGAAACAAGCCAGGCACTGATTATAGAGATTATATCCTCACAGTTGATTAACATTAATTCGTACATTCTGGTTACCATGGTTACAGTACTGACCTCGAATCTGTCAAAATCACAATGTGTCAAAATTTAGAAAAAAATTCTTCACATAAAATAATAATGTGCATATTGATAACACTGCCAAAGCCACTCTAAGGGCTACATTATTACCCCGGTCAATGGACCAGTGTGCTCCAGACTTTCATTCTCGTCCTCGCGGGGAGTATACAACCCAAGCTGCATTGTAAGGAGCAAGAAGGTTACCAGTCAAATTACCATCTCATCCTACCGGGTACCCATTTACTGCTAGGTGAAAAAGAGGCATATTTCGAACAAAGTCACTTGCCCAAGGAGACACCACATGTAACATGTGCTTCAGTGTGGGGCAGGACCGAAGCCCTAGAAACTCTCAGGAGTCGAGTAGCTGAACGTGGTCACCCAAATAATTACTCTGTGACCACCATTGCTTGACTTCACCTTATTTCTGACCTGTGAGCGGTACACAGGACAACTTAGCTAACATGACGTGGACCCAAGTTCAGTATACCTATCATTAAAGGAGGACTCCACTCTGCTAAACATGGCAGTCCCAGCCAATATTCAAGTCCCTGAACACTTTCCTGGTTGTGTCTATAAGCATTTACTGATCACTCTCATTTCTGTAACTACACAAAGGCACTGTCTCAGTTTGTCACATGGATTTAATTACAATGCCTACACCTGGGCAGAAAATGGACACCAGATCATGGATCAGAGTCCCCCTTTAAGGGCTGTCATCTGAATTCTATCTTAATGTATACCACTGAAAACAAGAACACCCATAATTGGAGAGAGAAAATGAGTATGGTTGTACACCATGTTTAGCAATATTCCAGCAATATCACATCGGGGGACGCCAGAAATGGGCTTCACACATTGTACCAAAATGGGGACTTGAATCCAGGCATGAATGACGAGTCAACGCTTTAACCACTAGGCTACCCAACTGCCCCACCAGTAATTGGAAGATTGTGTTGCAATACCCAACAACCATGACAATTTAACTGTAGACATATGACAAAAATGGAGTTTTCTTTAACTTCTTTTGAGTAGTGAATGTTGCACATACTACAAGAAAAGTAATTTTGCTAAGATTATTTTTGTACTTGGAGACACCGCATAAATACACAGTAACACACCTACAGATTTCACACAGATGGCATTCTAGTAATTACATTCACACAAAACATTGCATGGAGCAGAAACATAACACAATAGGATAATAATGATTGTCTTGTCAAAACTCCAGTGAGACTTCTGATTAAATGACAGCCCAGCATCATGTCTTGTTGCCAACTCATTACATGTAGAGAACCTGGCAATGTTTGCGGGCGTCGATGGTTGGTGTCACCACATCACACCCACTTAGTGGAAGCTGCTTGCATGTATGGCACACAGATACTGGTGGCTGTACAAGGCCGTGTTTCGGTGCTGTGTTTCAGTGCTGTGTCCACTTGATGGACTTGAGATCAACACCCTCCTGAAACATCTCCCACAGGGGGCTGAAATAACAAAAGATCAGGTTCTTGGAGTGAAAACAGGTAAGAGAAATGCACAACAATGACTAAACTACTGCAACAATGACTAAACTACTGCAACAATGACTAAACTACTGCAACAATGACTAAACTACTGCAACAATGACTAAACTACTGCAACAATGAACAATGACTAAACTACTGCAACAATGACTAAACTACTGCAACAATGACTAAACTACTGCAACAATGACTAAACTACTGCAACAATGACTAAACTACTGCAGTCAGAAAGGAGGCAGGGAGAGGAAATAGCTTACACGAGATCTACCTGGCCCTGTGTTCACATCAGAGACGAATCTGGCTTACTTGGTGCCTTGTCAGCCCTGGGATCAATTCTACCCTGGTACACTTTGTTTTGTTTGCTTGTTGTTTAACGCCGCACTCAGCAATATTCCAGCTATATGACGGCGGTCTGTAAATAATCGAGTCTGGACCAGACAATCCAGTGATTGACATCATGAGCATCGATCCACGCAATTGGGATCGATGACATGACAATCCAGTGAACCAGTATACCACAGGGAGACAAGCATGGTATACTGGGATGTACTGTACCCTGGTATACCCACAGGGAGACAAGCATGGTGCCGTATTCGACCCAATAAGCGCCCAGGGCGCTTAAAAATAGACAGAAGGGGTGGGCGCTTATTTGGACCAATTCAGAGTCAAATTGGCGTAAATTCATCAGTAAGCCTTACCGTATTTTCTTGAGAATAGTGCACACTTTTTTTCCAAAAAACACAGCTGTGTAGAAGGGGGTGCGCATTATACACAAATTAATGAGTTTTGATGTTTTTTCCCCAATGGAAAGACATTACTGTGAGCATGTAACACCGGAAATACCATGTCAACAAATCCATACTGAAGTTCGCAAATTATTCATGTAATTACACTGTCTGGCTATAAAAAGTATTCTTTGTATATCTGGACTTATGTTTGTAACTTATTTCATTAATTTTATTCAAAATTCCTTTTAATATTGTTTTAAATAATTTTGGCGAAATCGTGTGTGAAGCGATCGGAAGATCGCACAACTCACCATTATTAACAGCAACCAGGGTCAGATTACCGCTATTGACGACTTGAAACAAACTTTAGTTGACAGAGAAGGGATACATATATCATAATGGCCATACTTTGATTCATTAAAAGTCATATTTGTTTTTGTTGGACGATTCTATGTCAACGCCTAATTCTCGCAATCACGTGCACGGGAGCCTTGACGGTGACTGGTCAGACTGGTTCCATGTTAAAAATAATACCCGGAAATAGCGATCAGCTGCTTCGCTTAGGGTTATTATTATTTTAAATATGTTTAGTAAAAGCTGCATCTGAATTAACAAGATGTTGGAATATATTATTCCTGATAAGAAAATAGCTTCAGATACAACTTTTGCCGATCCTTGCATTTAAAATCCTGTAAAGTTATATCATTGGGTGTGTCTTGACCGAATCACCGGTAGATTCCAAGAAAACGTGTGTACAGCTGATTGCTGTGTCCGGCTTAGTTTACGAGAAAATACACAAGGTAATCTTAATCCCTGGATATAAAGCAATGCCTAGCTGAACAAAAAATACAATTTAAACGGTAAATCAACATGTCTGGTGATTTTTTATCTCAAATTTCGAATTTGTACTGACGAAGTTTCTCATCACCCGTTCGTTTGCTGGACTTGGCTGAAGGGGTACGGTGTAATTTTTTTCTGCGCATAATATTCAAAGTCACAAATATCTAAAATAACCGGTTAAAAGACTTCAAATATCCGGAAACCTCGGTTCCCAGACGATTTTCATTTAGAACGAAATAATTACTATTGGGTCGGATACTGGGAAGTATTGTACCCTGGTACACCCACAGGGAGACAAGCATGGTATACTTGGACCTATTTTACCCTGATATACTCACAGGGAGACAAGCATGGTATACTGGTATGTATTGTACACTGGTACACCCACGGGGAGACAAGCATAGTATACTGGTATGTATTCTCCCCTGGTATACCCACAGGGAGACAAGCAGGGTATACTGGGATGTATTGTACCCTGGTATATCCACAGGGAGACAAGCATGGTATACTTGGACCTATTCTACCCTGATATCCTCACAGGGAGACAAGCATGGCATACTTGGACCTATTTTACCCTGATATACTCACAGGGAGACAAGCATGGTATACTGCGATGTATTGTACACTGGTACACCCATGGGGAGACAAGCATAGTATACTGGGTCGATTGTACCCGGGTATACCCACAGGGAGACAAGCATGGTATACTTGGACCTATTTTACCCTGATATATTCACAGGGAGACAAGCATGGTATACTGCGATGTATTGTACACTGGTACACCCATGGGGAGACAAGCATAGTATACTGGGTCGATTGTACCCGGGTATACCCACAGGGAGACAAGCATGGTATACTTGGACCTATTTTACCCTGATATATTCACAGGGAGACAAGCATGGTATACTGCGATGTATTGTACACTGGTACACCCATGGGGAGACAAGCATGGTATACTTGGACCTATTTTGCCCTGATATTCTCACAGGGAGACAAGCATGGTATACTTGGACCTATTTTACCCTGATATACTCACAGGGAGACAAGCATGGTATACTTGGACCTATTTTACCCTGATATACTCACAGGGAGACAAGCATGGTATACTGCGATGTATTTTACCCTGATATACCCAAAGAGACAAGCATGGTATACTGCAATGTATTTAACCCTGGAATACTCACAGGGAGACAAGCATGGTATACTTGGACGTATTGTATCCTGGTATACCCACAGGGAGACAAGCATGGTATACTGGGATGTATTGTACCCTGGTATACCCCCAGGGAGACAAGCATGGTATACTGGGATGTATTTTACCCTGATATACCCAAAGAGACAAGCATGGTATACTGGATTGTATTTAACCCTGGAATACTCACAGGGACACAGACAGGGTTTACTGCGATGTATTGTACCCTGGTGTACCCACAGGGAGACAAGCATGGTATACTGGTATGTATTCTCCCCTGGTATACCCACAGGGAGACAAGCATGGTATACTTGGATGTATTCTACCCTGGTATACCCACAGGGAGACAAGCATGGTATACTGGGATGTATTGTACCCTGGTGTACCCAAAGGGAGACAAGCATGGTATACTGGGATGTATTCTACCCTGGTACGCCCATAAGGAGACAAGCATGGTATACTGGGGATCTTCACAACATGGAATCCCCAAAGGGAATGTATTGATAAAAAGGTTTTACTCCCTGGTCAAAACTAGCCTCCCTGAATGTCCCTGAAGTTTAGAAAGTTGCCTTGAATCTCACCTCATCTCACGGAGTCTCTTGACGTGTTGGACACAGCGGTCAGCTGTGTAATCGATCTCCTCCTCTGTAGTGAACCGGCCAATCCCAAACCTGCAGTAGTTGTTACAATGAAACATGTCAATATCATTTCTATCACGAGAGGCAAGGTAGGTTTTTTTGTTTGTTGGTATTTTGTTATCACTGCATTCAGCAATATTTCAGCTATATGACGGTAGTCTGTAAATAATCTGGACCAGACAATCCAGTGATTGACATCATGAGTGTTGATCCACGTAATTGGGATATGATGACATGCATCAGCCAAGTCAGCAAGCCTGACCACTCAATCCCGTTAGTCACCTCATATGACAAGCATGGGCTGCTGAAGACCTATTCTTACCTGGATCTTCACGACAAAGGCATGATAGGAGCAGGTAACTTTATAAACATTGTTACAAATAAAAAATAACACTGGGAATATTTAGGACATGTTATGTATGTTCATAATGCTCTTGAATTTATTATTGAAAACTTAGGTCTTTAGTAACCATGCTTGCGGCACGAGGCGACTATGTTTGTCAAAAGAGGCGACTAATGGGATCAGGTGGTCAGGCTTGCTAACTTGGTTGATGCATGTCATCAAATCCAAATTGTGTGGATCGATGCTCATGATATCAATCCCTAGATTATCTGGTCCAGACTCAATTATTTACAGACCTCCATCATATAGTTGGAATAATGCTGAGTGTGGCGTACGAAGTATGAAATCTGTGGTAATGGTTACTTCTGGTTACTGTAATCTTGCTGAAATCTGATCTCAGCCAAAACCAGACAGATTGACATCGCACCAATCCATTCAGTACATCATACAAATCACTCTGGTTTCAGGTGATGTTCACATATGTATGACACTGGTTTGAGACACTATAAAGATAACATTTAGTTCTGTTGTATATATTGTTTGTTGATGTTAATTAGACAGAACAGATGTCAAATTACACGAGGTTTCGGTTTGTTCGTTGTTTAACGCCACACTCCGCAATATTCCAGCCATACGACGGCAATCTGTAAATAATCTAGTCTAGACCGGACAATCCAGTGATTGACATCATGAGCATTGATCCACACAATTGGGATACAATGACATGCATCAACCAAGTCAGTAAGCCTGACCACCCGATCCCAAAAGTTGCCTCTTCCGACAAGCATAGTCACCTATTCTACCCCGGATCTTCACTTGATAGTACACGAGGGAAAAGTATGTCCCTTTTGAGACCTGTGACCCCTGACTCTGCCTACCTGATAGACGAGTGGGCAAGATCTTCATCGGCTCCTATAGCTCTCAGCACATACGACGGCTCCAACGACGCTGATGTACATGCACTGTGAACACAAGAACCATACATACAGCTCCTGGAACCAGGGTGTCATATACGTTCTGTGTTACATACTTCCTGTCAGCCATACCACACTAGTATACCCACTTGAGATCCAAACTTGTGCAGCAAACAAGGATGATACGAGGGCAGTAAACAAGGATGATACGAGTGCAGTAAACAAGGATGATATGAGTGAGTAAACAAGAATGATACGAGTGCAGTAAACAAGGATGATACGAATGCAGTAAACAAAGATGATACGAGTGCAGTAAACAAGGACGCGAGTGCAGTAAACAAGGATGATAAGAATGAGTAAACAAGGATGATACTAGTGCAGTAAACAAGGATGATACGAGGGCAGTAAACAAGGATGATACAAGTGCAGTAAACAAGGATGATACGAGTGAAGTGAACAACGATGATACGAATGAGCTAAAAAAGGATGATACAAGGGCAGTAAACAAGGATAATACAAGTGCAGTAAACAAGGATGATACAAGTGCAGTAAACAAGAATGATACGAGTGCATGATACTAGTGCAGTAAACAAGGATGATACGAGTACAGTAAACAAGGATGATAAGAGTGTAGTAAACAAGGATGATACGAGTGAGTAAACAAGGATGATACGAGTGCAGTAAACAAGGATGTTACGAGTGCATGATACTAGTGCAGTAAACAAGGATGATACGAGTGCAGTAAACAAGGATGATACGAGTGCAGTAAACAAGGATGATACGAGTGCAGTAAACAAGGATGATACAAGTGCAGTAAACAAGGATGATATGAGTGCAGTAAACAAGCATGATACTAGTGCTGTAAACAAGGATGATACGAGTGCAGGAAACAAGGGTGATACTAGTGCAGTAAACAAAGATGCTACGAATGCATGATACTAGTGCAGTAAAAAAGGATGATACAAGTACAGTAAAGAAGGATGATACGACTGTAGTAAACAAGGTTGATACGAGTGAGTAAACAAGGATGATACGAGTGCAGTAAACAAAGATGATACGAGTGCATGATACTAGTGCAGTAAACAAGGATGATACGAGTGCAGTAAACAAGGATGATACGAGTGCAGTAAACAAGGATGATACGAGTGCAGTAAACAAGCATGATATGAATGCAGTTAACAAGGATGATACTAGTGCAGTAAACAAGGATGATACAAGTGCAGTAAACAAGAATGATATGAATGCAGTTAACAAGGATGATACTAGTGCAGTAAACAAGGATGATACAAGTGCAGTAAACAAGGATGATACGAGTGCAGTAAACACGGGTGATACGATGGCAGTAAATAAAGATGATACGAGTGCATGATACTAGTGCAGTAAACAAGGATGATACTAGTGCAGTGAACAAGGATGATACGAGTGCAGTAAACAAGGATGATACAAGGGCAGTAAACAAAGATGATACGAGTGCAGTAAACAAGCATGGGAGAAGATGTGTTAGTAAATGTGGCAATAATTAACTAGAAGTGCAGTTCTCACCTTCCTGATGACAATGCCACATCTTTGAGGGCCATCAGCAAACTCTCCCCTTCCACAAAGGCAAAGGACAGATTAACACAACCTGCAACACAAAACAAAACAAAAGTTCATGCATTACCTCCTGGATGAAGATACCAGGTAAACATACATGGGAAACGGACCACAACTTGAGAGAACTACAACAATCCACTGGTACCTGGGTAGGTTTGGTCCGCATCCCCATTCCTGATGACCTGCGGCACCTGGGCTGTGATGCGATCTATCAGCCTCTGGGACAGCATGTTGATCCTCTCCGTGTCGTACTGTCAACAACACACACAAAACTCAACAGGGGTCCGCTCCACAATCATAGCGCTAAAGTCATCGTAACTCCCATACTTTAACATAGACTTGCGACAGGTTTATTGTTTGTCATGATCCGCTCTGTGAGTGAGGTCGCTCCAAAACATGACCTCCATCACTGAATTTTACACTCAAATAGTTGGTTCTGCTTATGAGTACCGGGACCACCTGGTGATCATATCTATCCAACTACACATATGCTAATGAAGTCATTGCCATTCAGATGTTCCATTCTAAAAGAAGCTTAAAATGTTGAAAGGAAGTTTCTCTGAACATGCTGAAATGGTTAGCATCGTTATGTCCTTCCCAATAAATAACTATACTCAACTCACTTCCATTTCTTTGACTGCAACCTCACACGCAGCCCCAAACCCGACCACGAGGGGGGTGGGGACAGTGCCGCTCCTCATCCCCCTCTCCTGTCCTCCTCCACTCTGAGGGGCCTCAACACGCACCCTTGGGCGTCGCCGCACATACAGGGCACCCACACCTGCAACATAAAGTGTATGTGATAAGAGGGGCGTCGCCACACACACAGGGCACCCACACCTGCAACATAAAGTGTATGTGATAAGAGGGGCGTCGCCACACACACAGGGCACCCACACCTGCAACATAAAGTGTATGTGATAAGAGGGGCGTCGCCACACACACACGGCAACCCCACCTGCAACATAAAGTGTATGTGATAAGAGGGCCGTCGCCACACACACAGGGCACCCACACCTGCAACATAAAGTGTATGTGATAAGAGGGGCGTCGCCACACACACAGGGCACCCACACCTGCAACATAAAGTGTATGTGATAAGAGGGGCGTCGCCACGCACACAGGGCACCCACACCTGCACATAAAGTCAGCATATTTGACCTGAGCAGGTCGAGATACATCTCCTGGGTGTACAGTGGAATGCTGTGACACCATTACTCAGATGTGTTATACTAAAGTGAGTGCTCAATATTTCAAATATATCATTACAAATCCTTAATAAACATTGGCAAATAACATTCATGAATACGAAATGTTCAAAATAGCCCACTCATCACAGATCTCTTGGTAAGAGAGTATGGTTTTACGCTGCTTTTAGCAATATTCGGGTAATATCATGGCGGGGACACCAGAAATGGGCTTCACACACAGATCTCTTAGTGAGTGAGTATGGTTTTACGCTGCTTTTAGCAATATTCGGGTAATATCATGGCGGGGGACACCAGAAATGGGCTTCACACACAGATCTCTTAGTGAGTGAGTACGGTTTTACGCTGCTTTTAGGAATATTCTGGTAATATCATGGCGCGGGACACCAGAAATGGGCTCACACACAGATCTCTTAGTGAGTATGATTTTATGCTGCTTTTAGCAATATTCTGGTAATATCATGGCGCGGGACACCAGAAATGGGCTCACACACAGATCTCTTAGTGAGTGAGTATGATTTTATGCTGCTTTTAGCAATATTCTGGTAATATCATGGCGGGGAACACCAGAAATGGGCTTCACACACAGATCTCTTAGACAAGTTTGAGGTATTTCAGCCCTTTTCCATCATGAAATCCTCACTGGGACAAGTGAGCCTTCACTTTAATACACCGATATCAGCCGTTAGGAATGTTACATGGTTACACCACTAGCCAATTATTTATTTGTCACGCAGAGTAATTTGTGTAAATGGTGTGGGGCTCATTAGTAGTTATGCATATTTGTGCATTCAGAAAGTTTTTATGTAAACATTGAAATAAGGATTTCATAGATTTAAATATATTCCTAAACAACTAAAAAAACCATAAGGACGACCCGATTCCATAGTATTTCTGTCATGCCATCACATATCAACTATAGTGATATGAAAGAATCGTGTCGTCCTTTTTGAGTAGTATGTGATGGAATTACACCTTTTTACTGGTTAATGCATTTCATATGGTAATACTTCAAGTCTAGTTGTCCACTGACCTTTAGGGCCATACACCTTGTGTCCACTGATGGACATCAGGTCAATCTTCATGTCGTTGACGTCCACTGGAACCTTTCCCACAGCCTGGGCTGCGTCCGTGTGGAAGAACGCCTTCCTTGACCTGCAGAGTTCACCTGCAGCAGCACAAGGTCAAGGTCACAAAACTTTCCACATCTCAAGGTCAAGGTCACAAACATTCCATATGTCCATGTGTATGTTTCAGATGGATGGGTGACATTGAGTATTTGATACCCAGAAATTTCATTTGAAAGCAGCGGTGAAATTTTTGGACATCAAATACACAATAGAATCTGAAAACACACAAAGTTTATCACCATTGTAAAATACAAAAGTTATCAGTAATATTCTGTAGGACTCTCCACATGAACTCAAATGTTTCTGTTTGGCAGAATGTGGAGAACAACCAACTCAGAGAAAACTGTCCCAACTCAATACTATTTTTGCCAAGTCCAACCACACGTTATTTACCAAATTGAAAAATACTTTTCAAGAAAAAGTCCTTAACATTTCTGTTTTCCGATCACATTTCATAGACTGCATCCATTCTGCAATCAGTGTTACAAGTAACTAACACAATAAATTAGGCTGAGACCAACAGGCACATTACTTAGGACCTTGTACATAATTACAGGCATTTACTAAAGGCAACTAACAGGATCAGGTGGTCAGGCTCGCCGACTTGGTTGATGCATGTCATCGATCCCAAGTGTGTGGATCGATGCTCATAATATCAATCACTAGATTGTCTGGTCCAGATTTGATTATTTACAGACTGCCGTCATATAGCTGGAATATTGCTGAGTGCGGCGTTAAACAACAAACCAACCAACGAACCAACCAAACAAACAACAAATTGGGAAAAGCTTGTTATTTCGATGAAAATTGAGAAATATTTTTTAAAGTTCTTATGTTGCATTTTAACACTGAGGTTTGATAGCTGATGACCTACCGATCTCGTTGACAGGCTGCCGGACACCAATCTCGTTGTTAATGAACATGACGGACACCAAGACTGTATCAGGTCTCATGGACTCCTCCAACAGCTGGGAAAACAAGGAAATCTAGCTATATTGCAGAGACAAAGTAGGTGGTATTTTTGGCACTACTTCCGCGAGCAGTTCCATGACAACTCTTGGGGGGTGAGCGGTAGCCTAGTGGTTAAAGTGTTCGCTTGTCACGGCAAAGACCTGGGTTCGATTCCCCATATGGGTACAATGTGGAGGAAGCCCATTTCTGGTGTCTACCGCCATGATATTGCTGGAATAGTGCTAAAGGCTGCACAAAACCATACTCACTCACTCACTCACTCACTCACTCACTCACTCAGTACAGAGCCCTACCTTCATGTCGATGATGCCGTTGGTCTGTACAGGAAGGTACGTCACATCAAAACCTTCTGCCTCCAGCGCCCGACACGAGTCTAATACACACTTGTGCTCCTGAAAGACATGGAGTCAGAATCTGACATATCCTGTTCTATCTCATAACTCTTCCACTTTAGACTCTTGTCGGAAACCTGACTCTAGCAAAACATATGTCAGTCAAGTAATATCTGATAAAATAAAGTTTTCACTAAATTCTACTGAAAGAGACAAATTTGGGCTAGAAGACAAAAACGTTTTTCATAAAGAGACTGCAGAATGAGTATTTGGATGTGTGACTGATCTGATATGCTTACATAGCTAGTACTAATAAACATTCAGTTAAAATAAATAAATGTATAAAATTAGCAGTCAATCACTACACTGTACATTTCAGGTGATGAGAACTCGAAACTCGCATCATGGTTTATCTTTCCCTCAGGAATTAATGTCAAAGAGATCCATGACATGAACTGTAATTCCTAGTAGCTTGTTATTTATTCTCATAGTAAACTATCAAGTATGATCTGGTTGTACTAGAATTGAACAATGAAATACTGGCTACTGACGGTTTGTGTTGTGATCACATGCCTCTTCTTCTCCTTGTAGAATCTGGCCACCCCCTTCACTGCAATATTGTTTGACTCAGTGGCTCCACTTGTAAAGATTATCTCCCTTGGATCAGCACCAATTGCTGATGCAACTTGCTGTGGAAACAGAGTGCAAAAAGTTTCATCAGATTGTACAGGTGCACCGGACTACAACAATGTCAATGTACAATAACTACATAGAAAAAAAACACAGCAGTAACAACCCAGTCAATACAAAGTCTTTGACAGGCATTTAGAATTTGGAAGAACATAAATACATGACACTTTGTTTTTATGGATAGCATCTTTTGTTATGTTATTTCATGACGTTTCAGAGCTACTTCTTGCTCCTTCATCAGGTGATTGATCTTCTGAAGACCAGTGTTGGGAAATATATGGGAAAACACTGACAACGTTAAGGTGAATTACCTTTCTTGCCTTCTCCATCGCGGCCTCACTCTCCCAGCCATAAGCATGTGTGCGCGAGTGGGGGTTGCCGTACAAGCTCACCATGTATGGTAGCATTGCATCCAACACGCGGGGATCCTGCAGTTCAGTGGAGAAACAACAATAACAAATAATGAATTTTTAAACTTCATTTATCAACAAAGCATTGACAGGGGCAGGGTGTGAGGTATGTGCTTAGCCATAATCTGCTTGTCATGGGTTTTACAGTTGCTCCTTGGTCTGTTGGCAATATATACCTGCTTGTGCATTACATACACTTGCCTCAGGGATTTCACCAAAGTTATTTATGTCTGTGACATGCATCCTTTTGGGCTTTGCTCCCACATGGAGCAGACATGCCGTGATACTGTTCAAAGCGGAATAAAACCCTAAACTCACTCACACCTTACCATTGGTGTTGTTGCCTGGGCATCTAGATAAAGGGGACGCTGGTCAGCTGATGGCATGTCCTTTCGAAATCCTTCCTGTTTCTCTGTCTTCTTTAATGCTGTAAAAAGATTAAATGATAACAGTTTCAACCGTGCAAATCCACTTACTCTGTAATTCAGAAACTGACCTGCAGGCATGGTGGGGGAGTCGGTCCTTAACATTTGGGCAATGACAAGGACCCCTTGACGTCCATGGTTAACTTAAAAAAAACAGGACTTCAACCAGACAAAAAACAATGTTGACTGAAGGACGTGAGAACTCTTGGCGTGTATGATGTTTCGCTGGAGGCAAGAGCTGGATTTTATGAACGCATCTCTAAATATGAAAAACAGTGGGTAAATAAAGACCAAGAACTTAGTAAAAATGTAATTGAAAACTGTGATGGATATTAAGGGGTTGAAGAAAAGAAATCCAGTTCTGAAGTGTATTTTATCCACGGAAGGTCTAATCAGAACATACCATGACAAATGCTTGAAAAAAATCATTGTGTCAACAAAATGTTTCTCCTTTACCTGTTAAACACGGTGATGAATGCAATCCCCTTGTGTAGCTTATCAAGCCATTGTGTTTGGAGAGTAGTCTCACACATGGTACAACCCTCGTCAACATCGTGATGAGAAAGGAAACGGGTATATACGAAAACTAAATATTCGCAAGCACTAGCTTCTTGGGCGCTGCCATTACTTATATAAATAATAGTACTTTTCTCTTTACAAGTTTACCGGCACCATCACCCTTATCCGAACAGGCGTAAGGCTTTCTGCGTGATGTGGTTTGAGCTTTATAACTTGTGGGGTATAAATGTAGTGTTCATTCCACGCTCCATAGTCGGCCGCGGCCCAAACAATTACAACATAAAGCAAATAATACAAACAGATCGTTTGCATATCTTTGGAAGTCGTTGATTTAAATGGGGCCAGCATCTACCCCTGAAACAAAACACTAATATACTAAAGACAAAATAGAAGAAGTTTTATTCAAGTGTCATACATTACATAAATCAAATCCCATGTTATGATCATTGTTGAAATATAATATACCAGGCTACGAAGTCCTAAAAGCCACTCGAACAAACAAATATAAACATTTAAAAGTATAAATTCACATATGATTGTTGGTGTATAAAGTTTCGTCTTCTCTCATTTAGCCCAGGATGTTGGTAAGCCTGGCAGGCAGACGTTGCCTCGGGTTGTAAATATTACAATAATGATATGACATTCTTGGTTGCAATAGTTATTCTATTTTGATATTTCTTGACGAAAGTATCTTGAAGACAAGTAAGAAAGTAATATGAAAGTCCCCTTGTCAGGCCTTGTGATAAAGGGATGCATGACAAACTTCTTATTTACATATAACATATACCGACGTCCTGAGCCCTACACTGAAACAAAAAAACTCTATACTAAAAGTCCGGAAGGACGCATCTCTGATCAAATTGAATTTTAGGTAAGGATAAGATTCATGAATGACCAACTTCTATATTACAATTAGGAGCGACGTTTCAGTGTAGGTTCTAACATCGTGATCATTTGATTGATAACAGTAATTGTAGACTTGATATCAAGCAAGTGATAACGGTGGCTGCTTGTACTCGTCCGGACTGATGCCGATTTATAGTGCTAGCTCATTGAGGTACCATGCCGCAGTTTAACATGAATACCCCACTCAGACATAGTATACTGACTCCGAGCCGACCAGTCCTTGTTTAGCCCCATAATGCTGAGCGCAAGACAGGGTAACAACAAGTACCATCTTTTAACGTCTTTTGGTATGACGCGGCCGGGGATCGAACCTTCCGGGCGGACGCTCTACCACTAGACCACGGAGGCGGTCAACGAAGAAACGAAGCCAGTCACTGAAGGTGGCAACACGACAAAGTTGGGGTGTTGTTGTTTTGTTGATAATGAACATAGAAAATTTGTTAATTTAGATTACTGAAATCTGAATGTAAACGAGTTTCAAAACTTTTGTTGACTGGTTTACAAACAATTTCTATACGTATTTACGACAATGCACGGACGTATATATATATATATGTTCTATATACGTCTTTGGACAGTGTAATGTTTATAAATGATCAAGCGAAACCGTTCATTGTTCATTGAATGTAAGTGTTTGTAGGTATGATTACTTACTGAAATATAAACCTTACACCTAGCTGATACACAGAAGATGTCAATGACAATCTGTTCTATTATAATGATTACACTTTCATTATGACTTTAAACTATCGCGAAGTTTATACTCTGCGAACGTGAAAACAAGCACCAACGCATCCCCACGAACACTAAAAATACGTGACCCGCACACACAAATCCCCCTGTCCCCACACAACTATTTTCAAGAGCATTTATCCGTTTAATAACTGGTAGGTACAGTGATTATTATTAGTCCTACTGCTATACACATCTGTTACAAGACTATTAGCACATTATGTACATCCTTATCCATAATTAGTATGTATGTAGCTTAGTATATGACAATCCTTAAACACCAGTGTCAAATCATGACACCAAATATTTGTCAAAACACCTTTGGAGCATGCGGGATACACATTGTACGTCTGACGTTTGTAGCACCAATATTATATCCGTGCGTAAATACTTTATAGAGCGCCACCTGGGAAGGTTACTCATGTCATTGACAGCAAGTGTGCAAGTCAAGTGTGTTTTTCACCTGTAAAATGAGAGTGCCGAACAATATAACAAGACTGTTTACTTAATCAGGTCATGTATACGCGACTAAAGCTTGTGTGTAGTGGCTGTGAGTTTAAATGGTCAAAGATCAGTAGGCCTACATTGTCAAGGTGTCAGAAAACGCGAGTGTGGTGCTATGATATCAAGAACATTGGACAAATTTCAACGCGAGGGACATTGAATATCGGTCAAATTCGATGGTACACACTCAGAAGTTTCCGTGGCCCTGATCCAGTGAAGTTTCCACGACTGACCCCACAGCATGTCACAGCGATATTACAAGCCAATGAAACGTCCGTGGAAGAAACATACGGACCTGTCAAAGGATTTGAGACAAACCAACTACAGTCAAATAACCCCATAGAAGACCGTCGCGGTGAAGCAAGGTTATTGACGAGCCATAGTAAGTGGGGGGTTGGCGGCCGGTATTTGTTTGGCATGTTTGATGGCCATGCAGGTAATTCTTGTGCTCAATCTGTCCGTGAACGTCTATTTCACTACATAGCGGTGACTTTATCTTCACCTGAAATTCTGCATCAAATCAAGGATGATAAGATGAATTTGGATGAAGAACTTATGCATCAGTATAGGAGTGGTTTGGACTATTACAATGAAAATCTAGGAGCTGTTCAACAGAGAAGTCTGGCAAAGTTTGCAAGTGAAACCCTAGCAGTACACGGAGAAGAAGACACGCTTGTAGACAATTTGACAAATGCTTTTGTCAGGTTAGATCAAGATATTTGTACAGAAGCTTTACCCGAACAAAACTCTAATTTGAACTTTCACTGTCTGCAATCAGCCTTCTCTGGTGCTGTGGGTTGTGTGGCTTTTGTGGATGGACTAGATTTGTATATAGCCAATGCTGGTGACGCTCAGGCAGTGCTTGGTGTTAATACTCATGGAGACGAGTGGGAGGCAGTTGCTCTCAGCAATTTACACAATGCTGATAATGAATCGGAAGTGAACCGTTTGTTCAGACATCACCCGAATGAATCAGGAAATATTTTAAAGAATGGGCGTTTGTTTGGTGACTTAGCGCCACTGCGTGCATTTGGCGATGTTCGATACAAGTGGGCTTCTAAAGATCTGAAACATATAGCAAATACGGTACGGTCACCACAGTCTGCCATCAGTATCTATGGCAACCGACTCATTCCGAGGAATTACCACACCCCACCATATCTGACTGCTGAACCGGAAATAATCCACCATCGTCTTACACCCAGAGACAAATTTCTTGTGCTAGCCTCAGACGGGCTGTGGGACACGTTATCACCCGAGAAGGTCGTTCAACTCGTTGCAGGGCACTTGGATGGTCGGCAGGTATGGGTCAACTTCCATCCCCCTCAGGGCACGACCTTGAAAGATATCAATGAGATGCTCAAACGACGGAAATCCAGTCTTGCCAATATCACTGTGGATGCAAATGTTGCTACACATTTGATTCGGAACTCCTTGGGCCCCGATCATGGACAACTTTCTGCACAGCTAACCCTTCCGGACAGTATTGTGAGATTCTACAGAGATGATATTTCTGTAACTGTGATTTACTTCGATACCGACTACATCATTGATAAGGCTTCTGTGTGATTGCTGTGCTGGGAAACTTGTTAACTGTTGTTGAACCTTTTGTTATTGCTGTGGAAAGACTTTGAACTGAAACCTCTGTTGTTAGTTGTTTACTGCATAATAGGATTATGATGATAGTTGTCGAGACAAATTTCTTCACAGTATAGGCCTGATAGTGCTATTCCATATCATACCCTCATCACAAAGGATATACAACGATTAGACTAATCAATGAATACCACTGTTAGCATGGCAAGGCCACAATATATGAATTATTAGATTTAGGTTTATAAAAACATTGTGGCCAGAAGTATTTTAGTGATATTTTACTTATTTAAACAAACTGGTCATGGCTTCTGTGTACCATGGTGTACAATAACAGTTGATGGATGTGATTTACCTGATGCAGTTATCTTTGTTTTAATACCTATGTTGTATTTCATCAAACAAAGAAAGAAATCCAACAAATGATTATTTTCTTCATCCGTAGCTACATGGGGACAATAACAAAATGCGGGACTGGGTGTTCAATAGTGAGGCAGGTGGGGTGGAAAATGTAACGATTAATTTATTGTGGCCTTAGTGTCAACACTCAACAGTGTCATTCAAATACAGGAAGCCATCATGGTCAGTTCCATGGGAAAATCACACAACATTTACATCTAGTCCCTTATCATAGGAATTTTCACATCTTTGTATCACAGATGTTCTGGGGTCATGGTTGCTCAGTTTTGAAGGTGCTGCATTTCGCTGTGCTGAGTTGTATCCCTTAGGCGTTCCAGAAACCTATGATCATGGTTTGAAGCACACTTCTTCACCCAGATTGCATCTAGACGTGTCTGCACCGTACACGTGGGTTTCACGAAAGCGATAAAAATCTGAGACCCACATCACTTTCAGCTTTCCTCCATCAGGCTTACATGCCGTGATATTACTAAAACACTGTTCAAAGCAACAGTCCCATCTCACTCACTCAAACAAATATTCTAGCAGTTCATTTTGTTAAGTTGCTGAAAATAAAAATACTTACGATTTGTTTTGTTTCCACTGGACTGCTGGACCACCTTGATTATGATGTGATCCTGATTTGGTTCGTGGCAATGTATTTATCAAACCCTGCACCCTAATGATGAAATGATGCACCAGTTACCCACAGTATTAATCTCAATGATATGATACACAACACGCTGTGTATAGATACATGTGTTATATACCTTACATGAATTAATGCTTCAATGAAGATTCTCTCGATCTCATTAAAATCAGATCTTTGTACTTGCTACTGCTAAGCAAAGATCTGAGGACAAACTGTTATGGATCTTGTCAGAATGACCTTTCATCCAACTAATAAGAGTATCACTTACCAAATCGGGAGAGTGCTGCTTGGAATGTGTTTTCTAGTCATTCCAAATGATAGTTACTGTCTTTACGACTGATTCCGTCAAAATCATCATCTATCTCTCGCTTCAGTGGGATAAAAAAATTAAAAGGAAGAGACTTTCCACAGCATGTGGGAGGTACGGTCGTACAATTATGGCAACCTGTTAGACATTCTGGAATATTCTACTCTTCAGTATTGTTCAAAGCATATAGTTGAAACTGGTGCTGCAAAGATCAAGAAAGCTGCTTTCTGATTGGCTAATCATGGCTAATGTCGACCTCTTGTTAGTCTTTTCATTGGGGACATGATGGGATGTCCTCAGATCTTTGTTTAGTGATAGCGAGAACTAAGATCTGATTTTAATGAGATTGGGATTGTATATAAGTAAAATGGGTAAGGTCAAGAAAGAAATACCTGCATTTCTGGTAACATGTACCCAATAGATTTGGGTCGTTAGGAATTAATATACGAATTTGATAATGCTGAACACAAATGTATTGTTTAAGTGAGATGATAGCTTAATTTTATTTTAGTTTGAAGGTCAAAATAGCTACAGCAACAATAATAGGCAAAAAAACACAATTTTTTCTCAATATATAAATATGTGTTTCTTCGTTTCTGTTTTCAGCAATATAAAAAATATTTGGGTGGCACGTGAAACAGTGGGTCTGTTGTTTTAACGGAAGCACAAGAAATGTTTGTGGCCTAATGATCTGCAGTTGGGCTTGATTATATTAATCGACCGCCTCCATGGTCTAGTGGTAGTGCTTGCCTCCCTGGAGAGTGGAAGGTCCGGGGTTCGATCCCCAGATGCGTAAAAAAATGGTACTTGTTGTTACCCTGTCTGGCGCTCAGCATCAGGGGTTAAAACAAGGACTGGTCCTCTCAGAGTCAGTATACTGTGACTGAGTGGGGTATTCATGTTAAACCGTGGCATGGAATCTTGGTGGGCTAGCACTATTAACATGATTAAATCACGATACGATATGAGTACAATGATCTTATTTCACCTCATCTTATTATATTATTCAAGGTCAATTCAATCTCATATAATGGCTTAGTCTAAACATGCATTAATAATATGTCCATTCGATGTGTCAGTTCTTTGAAAATATTCAGCTTTTGTTTCCTGTGATTTGTGCATTGTGAACAGTTTTGCAGTATATAGTATATTGTGTCGTGACATCAGGGTATCGTACTGCGCATAGTCCTTATCTACTATCATTATTTTCAGGGGAACCTCCAGTAGACCTGTAAGAGTTAAGTTTGGATGTATTGTGATGCTTTGAGTGTTATAATCAGATGAATTATTGAAAGTAAATACCTTTTTCTCAGAACATGGAGTGGTTTTGTCAGAGGTTTCAATCAACAAATATAGAGGACAAGGAAGATAAGGACTCTGATGTGTTTCTCATGTTGTTTTTTAGTGAGAGGATACATTAATTTTTCACCACTTACATTTGTAGCTCACCTGACTGAAAGTCAAGGGAGCTTGTGTCATTGCCTGTTTGTCAGTCGCGTCGTTCATCATAAATATCTTCTCCTAAAACACACTGGCCGATAAAGTTGAAACTAAGTGAACAAACATTTTTCAGTTACCCATCAAGTTTTGAATAAAATGAAATTTGGTATTTGTAGTTAGTTATGGGGCTCGACCTATGTTCTGTTTAGAATATGATACATTTTTACTTTGTTTTGATCTCGATAATAAATTCTCTCAAAGTGTATATATGCCTCCATAATATTTTCTGGAATTGCCAGACTAAGGGAGCTGAATTTCGACATTTTTTTATATCTCCTTATGGAGCCATCCTACTTTGTCAGGTTTGTTACAGAGTTGAGCTGGTTATTATTATTTATGCAGAAACTACTTGAATGAATATCAACGACAGTGGCTGTCTTTGTTACAGAGTTGTGTTATTTATTTATGCAGAACATATTTGTATGAATATGTGGCCTGAGTGGCTGTCATGATCTTTTAGACTGTTGACATGTTTAACTGTAGACAACATACGGGGCGGTCGGGTAGCCTAGTGGTTAAAGCGTTCGCTCGTCACGCCGAAGACCCGGGTTCGATTCCTGACATGGGTACAATGTGTGAAGCCCATTTCTGGTGTCCCCCGCCGTGATATTGCTGGAATATTGCTAAAAGCGGCGTAAAACCATACTCACTCACTCACTCACTGTAGACAACATACAGGTGAGCTACAGTTACCAAGAGGTGAGCCTAATGTGTCAATACAGTTGACTTCAGCAGGGATGTATCTAGACCAGATCAGAGGTTGATCTTCTGTCTGCAGCAAATGTCATTAAAAATTCACAATTTGGAACTTAAATTTCCCACTTTATGGTCCTATGTAAAAATATATTTTACTGATTAATTTTGTGGCTTTGTAGAAGTAACCTGTATTCACTTATAACAAGACCAATAAATAGGAACAGGTTTTAATGATTAGTTTTACATTGTTGCATTGAATGCAGTCTCGAAATACTCTGAATTTATGAAATAATCTAATTTAAAAAAATCCCATTTTTGAACATAAGTAATACTATTTCCCAATTTGCATGTCAGGGGCACTTACATGTAGTTAAGAGTCCTAGATGAATCCCTGTTCAGAGGTTTCCAGGAAGCTGTTTTGTTAATATTGAACATGAGCAAGATTTACACTTGTACCCAAGCTGATCTTGATAGATGTATGTGATGACCTTTTATATGAATATGTGATAAATGTTCACCTGGGGACACAAGGATCACAGACTTGTTCATGTTTTGATTTTCTTTGCAGTTTCAAAATCAATGTTTTTCATGCATTTTAGTTTACTATGTATTAAGCATACTTCCATACTTTATCAAGTTTATTGGGCAGCATATCACATTTCTCAGTATTAACGTGACAACATGTTGCCATGGTTACAACATTATCAGCAAGACAAGCATTATGAGATGGGATATTGTGTTACCTGGTGTCCAGGTGTGATGGGAGATGTGGTTTCATGATCCTACTCAAAAGATGCTGTACACAAAGCCCTTCATTTGATAGTTTTATTTTGTATTTTTGCACGTTAAATTAATATCAATAACTTGTTTGTCTGGTCCTGTCCTAATTGTATGCAGGCCATCATTTGCCGATATGGCCGGAATATTGAGGAGTGCTGCATGCATAAACAAACAAACTAACAAGCTTATTCAGTTCATGTATTGTTAGTGAGTGAGTATGGTTTTATGCTGCTTCAGCAATATTCCAGCGGCGGTGGAGACCAGAAATGGGCTTCACACAGTGCACCCCTCTGGGGAATGGAACCCAGGTCTTCAGCGTGACCAGAGACACGCTTTAACCACTATGCTACCCCACCGCCCCTGTTCTATTCTGGGGGCGGTGGGGTAGCCCATTGGTTAAAGCGTTCTCTTGTCACACCGAAGTCCCCGGTTCGATTCCCCACATGGGCACAATGTGTGAAGCCCATTACTGGTGTCCCCTGCTGTGATTTTGCTGGAATATTGCTAAAAGTGGCGTACAACCATACTCACTCACTCACTGTTCTATTCTGACTACAGATTGTCGATTCAGCCCGGGATGTTTCTAGAGTTGTACGTCATGTAACATTCGATTATCAAGACAAGTCCAGCTGGTATTTATGTTAAGTGGACACCAAATACTTATATATATTTACTATCTCAGGCCATATGTAAGAATGCATGGCAACAGTGAAATTCTTGTTTTAAAAAAAAATAATGTTTTAAATTACAGTTGTTGAAATGTCCTGAGGTCAGGCAGACAATTTTTCTTGTTTCATTATGGAGTTGATTTTCAATTTTGAGGCCAATGTTGCAGAGGGGAGGAGGTCTCCAAAAACTATTAATGTTTTATAGAATATAGGATATTGTTTGCATGTTTTGAAACTGTTTTTCATTTGCAAGGCTTGAATTGACAATTAGAACACATTTCCAAACATCATAAACAAGTAGCTTACTTTCCTTTCAACATGGCACATTTTGAAACATTTTTTGTTATTGGAAGTCTTCTAAGAAGATAAGAAAATCATCGGTCTGTCCTAAATCTGTTGTGATGTGCTTTTGCAACACCTGTCAGTTTCATGGATTAGCATTTTGTTTTGTTGCTAGAAATGAAGTTTCAGCTTGATTTTCCAAAGTGTTTTTTGGTGAAATCTATTTTTGTAGTAGCTACACGAGGTTTTGAAGATGACGCAGATCGTGTGATAACTTAGCTGGCTGGCTGATTCGGTCCAATGTCAAAAATGAAAAAATTAAAATGTCCCATTGTAGCAGGACATGGAGTCATCCCACAGATGACATCCTTGCCTTGTCAGCTTGCTGACGGGGTTAACGTCTTTGGTCATATGGACAAGGCGTTCTGATCAGAAGGTCCGTGGTTCAAATCCCATCACAGGACTCGAAAATTTTACGGTCGCTACACCATTACAGTTTATTGTTGATGTTAAAGCTTTGCCAGGACGACCTTGACATAAACATGATAACGTAGCCAACATTGAGAAGAAGGCCTTATTACTTAGCTTTAGTCGTTTACATTTTTCTCTTGAATACAAATCTTGAACCTCGTACATGTATGTGTTACCCCGTGAAGTGTTTTTGGAATGGCTGATTTCCCCCATAGAGCGCACTTGTTTAGATGTAATCACTTGCAGTCTGGTTTACAATGATTGTAAACCCTCCTACAAGGAGTTTCTAATACAAATTATACTTCTATACATATAAATTTGTACTTGGCATTTTAAACGTCCAATGTTCTAAAATGGAAGGCAAGAAATGAAAGGCTTCATCATGGATGATGGGGATGGAACCTGCAACCTCATACATCGTGTTTAGTTTTGTGACCCACTGTTTTCCCACTGAGCTACTGGGGCAGGTGATGAGAAGTTGTTGAATTTTACGTCATGAATCTGTTTGGTCCATGGTGCATGTGTTTTTTGTCCTACACGCTTTGATCGAATTCCTTTTTATAGCGTGACATGCTGTATTGTTTCACTATAAGGTATCTCAAAGTTTTCTTATTTTTTCTGGTATTTCGTGCATTTAGACCGTTCATAAGTTGCACGAAACACCACTCCTTGGTTTTGGTTGAAAATATGAAACAACACACAAAATAATTACCTATGTGATTAGCCACTTAATGAGTTGGATTACTTGAGATTGTAAACCCTGACTTTCAGGAACATGGTCCAATGGTCCATGGGTATGTACCCTCCCGTCAGGGTTTACAATCTCAAGTAATCCCGAGAAGTGGTTTCTCCTTTACTTATAATATTAAATGCCTCTGAATTTAAGAAAATAAGAACTCTGAACAAGTTTGTTATTTTGGACGAATAAAGTTCCCTAATTTGCATACCACAGGCATTTGTTTTACCTCTGGATAATCCCTGATTCACCACTGTTGCTCTGTAGAAAGTGTGTGTTCTAACGTCACAGTATACAACTAATTTTAGTGATTACAGTGGCACATTGGCCTCAGTCCGGCAGACCCCCTCAGGGGTCAGGTCCTCCGGTTTTTGTTTGCATATTGACTCATCAAGAGTATTTATTAGTTTTGTTATACTAAATTCACTTTTAAGTTTATGAAGCCTTTAAACCGTCATCAACACATTTACATATTGACACATCAACACATTTACATATTGACACATCAACACATTTACATATTGACACATCAACACATTTACATAGTGACACATCAACACATTTACATATTGACACATCAACAAATTTACATATTGACACATCAACACATTTACATAATGACACATCAACACATTTACATATTGACACAACACATTTACATATTGACACATCAACACATTTACATATTGACAACACATTTACATATTGACACATCAACAAATTTACATATTGACACATCAACACATTTACATCATGACTCATCAACACATTTACATAATGACACATCAACACATTTACATATTGACACAACACATTTACATATTGACACATCAACACATTTACATATTGACACATCAACACATTTACATAGTGACACATCAACACATTTACATAGTGACACATCAACACATTTACATAGTGACACATCAACACATTTACATATTGATACATTTACATATTGACACATCAACACATTTACATAATGACACATCAACACATTTACATAATGACACATCAACACATTTACATATTGACACATCAACACATTTTCATATTGACACATCAACACATTTACATATTGACACATCAACACATTTACATATTGACACATCAACACATTTACATATTGACATCAACACATTTACATAGTGACACATCAACACATTGACATATTGACACATC